GCACAGGACTGGGACCCACCCTGCCTGGGTTGCAACCCAGACTTGAGCACTCACTGGATATATGATCCTGGAGAAGCTTCTGACCTGCTTTCATCTCTGTTTCTCTGCTCACAAATGGGGATGAAAAGGGTCCCTGGAGCAAATTGCTTCACTTTTTTATGCCTCAGTTTCCTCACTTAAAAACTGGAGACGATTCTGACATTTCACAGGGCAGTTAGAAAGACAAAACACATAAAGGGATTAGGACTGTGCCCAGCGAGTAGAAAGTGCTGGGCAGGCACAATACAGTGTAGACACTATCATCCTGTTTTTGGTGAGGTGCAGAGCCCGGGGAAGCAAGCCAGTGAGCACAGCCCTCACGTACCTGCTGCCTCCGAGCACTGGCTTCCCACACCCGCCTCACCGGGGGGTCCACACACAGAGGTCCCGAGGAAATCAGAGGCAGAATTCAGAAACGGAAATCAAGTCTCCAGACAGCTAGACAGCTGACCCTTGGTGTGGCCCCCGGTCCCCTTGGCAGCTCCCTCTGGGGGCCAAGTCCTGCCGGCCTTCCTGGCACAGCCCCAGCGTGCCCACTCAGTGTGGGTTGAGAGAGGCATGTGTCGTCAAGAAGTGGGTCCTGTTTGCGGGGATTCCTCCAGATGGCCCCGGCGTGTGTGTGAGCTGGGGGCACCCCAGCCCTGGGCTTTGACTGGGGGCCAGACCCGCGTCCCCTCTTCCCACCCCGCGACAATAGAAAGCTGATGTTTTCCACGTGGTGTTTGTCTCTCTCTGAGAACGAGAGGGCCTAAGCACTGCCAAGCTTATCTATACAATGGATTTCCTGCTGGGGCTGGAGCTGCCCTGTTCCCCGTTGGGTGATGAATTTATGTCCCCCGAGCACACAGATCTGCTGACGTTCGTGATGCTGGTGGCCTTGGCAGACCCCAGCTCCCCCAGCCTGGGCGGGAATCAGCAGACATAAACCCTGACTGACGTGAACAGAGCATCCCGGGTAGGGACAGAGAGCCAGAACTGGGTGGGCGGTGAGGGCGTGGGAAGGTCACTCATCCATCAAGTGTTTATTGAGGCCTCCTGTGTGCTAGACCCTGTGCTGGGCACACAGAGGACACTCCTGCTGACCTGGGGCTTGGACAGATTCCTTTTGCAGTGGTCCTAAGGACAGAGCCTGAATCAGGGCTCAAGAAAAAAAGGCCTCAGGGTTGAGGAACAGTGTTCTTTCCTGGCAATAATCCTCGGCAGTGATAGCCCAGCCAGGCCTGGGAAAGGTGGACAGCTCCTTGGTGTTGAGTTATCACACCTTTGCATCTGTGGCATTCGCGTCGTGCCCAGCATCCAGAGCACCCACCGGGCCCACCGGGATGCCCCTTTCCCTCCTGCTCCTCTGCCCAGCTGTGTAGCAGCCTCGGCACTTGGCCTCCTGTCAGAACTCCGAGTTCCCATGTTAATCATAACAAGTGTGTTTTGAGAGGAACTGGCCTGGCCCCTGCCAACAAGCGTTCTCTCCTGTGTTGATAACATCTGCACCAAATTTTCTCCCTTTGTATAATTAGGCCCATTGGTATTTACTGACTTTAAATTATGGTACGAGTGGTGTCTCTGAAATTTCAGGCCTGTGATATATGCTGGGGCCCAAGGGAGTGGGAAAAACTGAGCTTTCACTGATGGGATTTCAGGTTTAGCAGGAGAGGGTGAGGTCAGAAGCAGGCCACCAGCTACCGGTTGCACCCAAACTGCACAGCAGCCCCCAGCCGGTGGGAAGGGATGTCCTGCCTTGTCCTGGGAGCTGTCCTGGGCCTGGCCTGCTGGGGTGAAGGAGTCAGGAGGACTCCCCTCCTTCTCTGCCTGCCCTTCCTCACCCCACATCCCCCCACCCTCGCTCCATCCCTGGCCCTGGAGTGACAGAGCTTGGCAAACAGGAAAAGATGCACTAACTGCAAAGAAATGCAGCAAATTCAAACTTAACCCCAAAGCCAACCTCACAAGCATTGGGGTTTGGAGTCGTGCTTTGAAATGCCTGTCATGGTCTGGCTATGTCCGAGCTGGAGGAGCTGTTGCGGGTGCAAGATAAGAAGTGGAGCTGGGCCTGGGGGAGTTGGTCCTCTCCCGCCAGCTCCCACCAGAAAAGCGGCCAAGGGATGTATGCACCAGCTCCCCACACCTCTGAAGTGATCCGTATCTCAGCAGTGACTTCATTTCCCCTGATGGGGTTTCCAAAAACTCTCTGGAAGGTTCCAACTAGTAAGCCACACTGATTGTGGTGAGGGAGCTTTGATGCATTTGTTTGCTCTTTCCCTTCGGGACCCGGGAGGCCCCGGATGAGTGATAACTGGATGACGGTATATTTGCTAGGGGAAAGGGAGTGTGTTTTTTTAAGACGAGGTTTGATCGCAGGCAGGAGGGATGGTTCTGGATGCCTCTGCGATGTGGAGCAGGGAGGAGGGGTGCACATCCCTTCCCTGGTGCCTTGCTCGGGCACTTAGACTCCCTAGGTGAACTGCTACCTCGGGAAGTTGCAGCAGGGGCTGCCTGGGCTCAGGGCAGTGTGCTGTCTTGTCTGATCGTCTCTGCCAGAAGGCTGCCCTTTCTGCTGTTTTTTTTAAACCATATTGGTGCTCCTCATAAGATTTGGTTTGAATAAAGGAGTTTTGCCCCATGTAACTCACTAGGTCATTTTGTGTTTTCTCTTCTATCCAAAATGACTGTAGCTTCCTTGGGGAAGCCTTGCTCACCCCCAGAGTGTCCCTTAAGACCTAGCATGGGACTTGCACAGAATCCTGTCTGTCACCTCTGCTCACTGTGGCCCCAGTGTGTAGAGGACCAAGGCCACACTCCTACGCCTGCCATTTAAGACCTTCAGCATATGGCTCCAGCAAACTTCTCAGCTTTCTCTCCTTTTCCTCCCTTCCCCCAAAGTATCCATCTCTCCATCCAACTAGAGCTTTTCTTCCTTTCCCTTTGAATGGGCCATGCCGCTACTGAAATGTTGTTTCTTCTTCTTATTCCTGGCAAACCAGAATCAATACAGCATGGTGGGCTCTGGAGTGAGACCACCTGGGTTTGAATCCTGGCTCTGCCCCTTTCAGTCTGTGACGCCATGGGCCAAATACTTAGCTGCTTCGTGCCTCAGTTTTTCTATCTGTGAATTGGGACAATACTCGTTCCTCCTACATTTGTTTTGAGGATTAAGAGCAAAAACACATAAGTTACTTAGACCAGTGTCTGGCACATAGTAAATGCTCAATAAATGTAGGCTGTGGCGATGGTAGTCATGGCGGTGGTGGTGCTGCTGGTTATGATGGTGGTGATGGTGATGGAGCAGGAGGAGGAGGGCATGATAGTAGTGGTGATGACGGTTTTTAAAGGCCTTCCCTGTGAAGTCTTTTTCAGTTTACTAAGTGGGCTTAACTTTTCCCCTCTGGGCTCCAAAGAGAACTAACCACATGGGATCCTAATGATCTATTTCACAAGTCTGAGTCTACCTAGACTGAGAGTTCCTAGGACTCTCAGTCTAGGTCCCATCAAGAAGAATAAAATCTATATTAGCATGTGTCAAACTTGATACCATATGCTTTTCTCTCATATAATTATTTTACTAAGATATAATTCACATGCCATAACATTTGCCCTTTTAAAGTGTACGGTTCAATGTGCAACCCCACTATCCAATTCCAAAACGCGTTAGTCCCATGAAAAGAAGCCCTGCATCCATCGGTAGCCGCTTCCCGATCCCCGCCCCCCGTTCCCTTTCAACAGCTACTCTGCCTTCCATCTCCACCGATTTGCCTGCTTTGAGCATGTCATACAAATGGAATCATGCAGTGTGTGTCCTTTTGTGCCTGGTGTTTTTCACTTAACATAATGTTCAAGGTCTATCCATGCATCGACACTTTGTTCCTTTTTATAGCTGAATGATACTCTATTGTGACGATCTACCACATTTTACATATTCATTGATTAATGAACACTTGGGTTGTTTTGCCCATTGTGACCAATGCTGCTATGAGCACCCATGTACAAGTTCTTGTGTGGACATGTGTTTTCATTTCTCTTTAGTATAAACCTAGTAGAGGCGTTGGGTCATGTGATAACTCCCTGTCTATCGTTCTTAGGGGTGTGGGCAGACTATCCCAAAGTCTCCGCACACTTTTATGTCCCCACCAGCAGTGTATAAGGGTTCCGGTTTCTCCACATCCTCACCCACACTTGTTCTGTCTCCTCGAATATAGCCATCCTAGTGGGTATGAAGGGATACCTTGTTGTGGCTTTGATTTGTATTTCCTAGATGACCAATGATGGTGAGCATCTTCTCATGTGCTCATCGGCCATTGATATATCTTCCTTAAAGAAATGTCTACTCAAATTGTCTCCCCATTCTTCAATTTGTATTGTTGAGTTGTAAAATTCTTTATAATGTATAATTCCTCATCAGATATATTATTTGCAGATATTTTTTCCCTTCTGTGTATTGTCTGTTCACTTTCTGGATAGTAGCCTATAAAGCACAAAACTTTTTAATTTTGATGAAGTCCAATTTACCTCTTTCTTTTGTTGCTTATGCTTTTGGAATCATAGCTAAGAAACCATAGCCTAATCTAGGTCACAAAGACACACCATAAGCTTTCTGAAAGCAATCTTATTTTAATTAACAACTCTGCATGGAATAAATAGCAGACCCATTTCACAGATGTGGAAACTAGCAAGTCAAATGCCAGCACTGGATGTAAGCCCAGTTCAGTCTGACTCTAAACCTCACGTATATCTAACTGTGCCTCTCCCCAAGTCCCTTGACCTCTGCGTCCCTCACGGGGCTTAGCACAGTGCCTAGTGCCAGTAGGCCCACAGGTAATGAACACTGGATAGATGAATGGCAGGTCCTAACAGGTGCTCAATCTGCACTTGCTGGTTGCCTTGTATGAATGGGGTTTGCTGCTGACGATGGGCTTGTGTCTACAGTGCTAGAGGTCACTGAGCAACTCTCCTCCCTCTCACCTCTGCAGTGTCTCATCGTTGGGGGAGGACCATGTGGCTTGCGCACTGCCATTGAACTTGCCTACCTGGGGGCCAAAGTGGTCGTGGTGGAGAAGAGGGACACATTCTCCCGGAACAACGTGCTGCACCTCTGGCCTTTCACAATCCATGACCTGAGGGGCCTGGGAGCCAAGAAGTTCTATGGGAAGTTCTGTGCTGGCTCCATCGACCATATCAGTGAGTGGGGCCAATGGTGGCACCCCATGAGGGGCGGGGGCTGACCTTGGTAAGCATCTGTCCACACTGAGGAGTCCCCAGAATGTTTCATCTTGAAAGTCCCTAGGGGCTCCACACATACAACTAGCAGATATTTAGTGAGGGGCCTGCCTTGTGCCATGGACCAGGCCCTGTGTGATGTCCCACCAGGCTGTAAGAACCTTGAAGTCCAAGACTGTAGCATGTCTTACTCACCAGAGTATCTCCAGAGCATAAAAGAGTGCTTGACACGTAGTAGATGCTCAATAAACTCCTGTTGCATGAATGAATGAAATATGGAAAAGTGAGGTAGAGGTAAGTAACATAGTCTACACTTTTAGAGAACTCACCAAGCTTTTATCAACAACAAAATGTGCTTTAATAGAGTAGTCAGACTTGTTAGAGGAGTTCAGACGAGGGAGCCACACAAAACCATTAAATGTGATGGGTCATTGAAGGCCTCTTGGGCAAAGGAGTACTGCAAGTTCTGGGGAGCCATAGCAGCTTTTAGAACAGAGGAATGATGCACCAGACAGACCCCATACTAGGTTTCCTTGAGCTTCCATAAGAGAGAGGGCATCATGATGGGATTGCAATCAGAAAAGGACGGGGAAGAGAGGACATGGATTTCAGGTCCTAGGCCATCCCTGCATGCTCAAGCCTGGGTCTCTGGAGGCAGAATCCACATTTGGATTTTGGAAGAGCAGCCTCCTCCTCCCATAAAGGATGGAGGGCTTTAGCCACTTTATATATAGCAACCATGACTCGTAAAAGCTAGGGAGGTTAACACTGTGGGGAGAGTTCAGGGGTTTGAACAGATTTTGGTCCAAAATCTGTCTCGTCCATTTTTCTGTGTTACTTGGGTCAAATTCCTTCTTCAAGCTTCAGTTTTGTCTCCTATAAATGTGATTAATGTCTGCTTACCAGGACTGCAGAGAAGATTAACTGAGGTCAGCTTTTTAATGTGCTTATCACTGTGCCTGGTGTGTGGTAGGTACTCAGGAAATGCTTAACATCTCATGATGTACAATGAGCAAGAAGCAGCCAGAGTCCCCAAGCTTCAGAATTCAGAATGTGAAACTTAGGTGGGAGGTTAACCCTGAAAACTATGTGTTTATGAGGACAAGAACTAATAGGAAATGGGTATGGGATTCAAGTGGGAGTGACTGGGAGCTACACAGAGCGTAAGCTACACAGAGTGTAATTTAGTGCCAGATACAGGAGAACTTAGCAGCAGTGACTCCAGAGTTTATTCCCACTCTGAGATGAGGAAATTCCATGAGTCCATTGGAAAGTAATTTAGATTTTTCCAGAAAGTTGCAGTGTCAGCTTCTAGGACATTCCCTACCACCCATGGAGAATGTGTGTTGGTTACCAATTTAGGGCAAGGTTGAGCACCACTTTCTCATCAGACCCTCCTGAGTGACACAGCTGGGCACAGGGGGCCCTTGTGAGGGCCCCAGGGCTATTGGGCTGCCTTTTCGGCCAGGAGCCCCTCTACACCCCATTGAGGGGGCTCCCAATGAACTTGTCATCCTCGGAAACATCCCAGTGTGCAGAAACCCTGGCAGGATTACGGAACTGAGATTCAAACATTCATAGTGATCGTTGTCAAGGGCAGCCCCAGTACCTGTGAGAAGCAGGGAGAATTTATTGAGTACCTACTATGTGCTGGAAACATATAGGAACTTTGAAACTATAGGGAGAGGCCAGGCTTCCTCCAATGCCTGTTTCCAAGCAGGAGGTAGACTGGATTATTTCAGCCCCAGCTAATTGGCTTCCTTTCTGACTAACCAAGGCCTCCAGCTCCAGCTGTGTTCCGGACCTCAGCATTGCTCAGCAGTTCTCAACTTGTCCTGTGTCAGCATCTTCCTCCAGCTCCCACCGTGGGTGTTCCAAACCTCTACCACAGCCTCCTCATTCTTAGCAGATGGCCTCCCTGCTATGCTCTGGGGAAGAGCAGACACTGGCAGGCACTGCCCATGCCTGCCCCCCTTTTTTCTCCTCCACCCAAGGGACCATTCCTTCCTTTCAACCCAAAGGCAGAGGCAGAGCTGACCACCCCCTCTCCAACTCTAGTCTCTCTTGGATTCTTTCTCTCTTTTTCAGCTGCCCCATCACTTAGCCTTCCTCCTTCTGACCTCACACTCCTCCTCCAGTTCTTTGTTATTTCCCATTACTTTTCCTTACTTCATAGTACTTATTCTAGAAAGAAGAGATGTAGACTTTGTCTGTACTTTCCACCCATGCCTCATTCCATTGCAGTATGATTTCTCCCCTACCACTGAGCTCAAGAGATTTCCACCAAGGTCTTCAGAAGCTCCCTGACTCCCAGGGCCCCAGCCTCCTACAGTCTTCCTATTCTTTAATCTCTTGGTGGGATGTGGTGTTCTTGGTCCATCCTCTCTTGGCGTTCAGGACAACAGCTCAGGCCTGTTCTGCTACTCTTCTTCCCCCCAACCACCATGCCCCGCCCCACCCTGTTTACCTGTGTTTCCTCAATTAGAGGGGGTATTTCATATCTCCCAGACCTAGCATGGCACCTGGCACATTATAGATATTCAATAAGTGTTAGGTGAACAAAGCCACAAAATACAAAGGGACCCAAAGGAAGTTTGAAGCTGTACTCTACAGAAATATATTTGGAGGCAAACCTGTTTTTGCTGAATAGTAGGGGACAAAATAAAGAAACAAGGTGCCACATATTGGGGGAATTTCAGAGAGTGAGTCAGAGGTAGAGAATCGAAAACCCAGCTTTGTGGAGAGAATTCCACTTCCCACACCTTACCTGGGGTGGCTGAGAGTTTAGGCCTAACATCCCCAAAGACTGAGCAAGTTGATGGTCTCTCTCCCCCTCTCCCCCTCTCTCTCTCCTTTCCTCTCTTCCCCCACCTTCTTTCCATCTTTATCTTATCAAACTCACAGCCCAGAGAAGAGAGAGCCTTCCTCATTATAGTATATCTAACAGCCACAGTACAGTCTTAGAATCAAACTGGGTCTACATTCTAGTTTAACTACCCTGTGACCTTGAGCAAGTCACTTAACTTCTTTAACTCTCAATTTCTCATTTATAAAGTGAGAATAATTATCCCGGAGGGCCACTGTAAGGGATAAATGAGAAAACACTACAAGGGTTAAATGAGAAGACACAGAGTACTTGGCACATAATTAGCCCCCAGTAATGATCATTATTGATACACTGCAATGCTCAGAGATCATTCAGCAGTGACTATACAGTATTCTATATACAGGACGCACCTAGGCATTGCTTTCGACAATTCATCTTTCTTTCCCTTCCTTTCTAACAGGTATTCGTCAGTTACAGCTCATCCTATTCAAGGTGGCCCTGATTTTGGGAGTTGAAATCCATGTGAATGTGGAGTTTGTAAAGGTTCTAGAGCCTCCTGAAGATCAAGAAAATCAGAGTACAGTATAACTTCCCTCTTCTGTCTAAAAACCAGATAGCAAAATGAAAATTATACTTGCAGCTCTCAGAGGATGTTTCTGTGACAATTACTCTTATTGGGGGGCTGTTTGGCATAATTTCATTAATGAATATTTTCCTTTTTTTGACCATTGGTGTCACTTTAGGTTTGTTCTTCAGCTCCCAGGGGATATATTGTTAAGCCATTAAACCTGTAATTTGATTACTCTGCCACTAGGAGGTGGTACTTTGACAAATGAAATCAAATCAGGAAGACAGATTTGGTTGTCTGATAAAGTTCATTCATATGCTCTTCAACATGTTTATGTGCACACACAGATATATAGATACACTTGTACCCATATGATATATTTAAAATCTAGTAAGGAAAAGGAAGTGTCTACAGCAAATATTAAATATTATTTTATCGGTAAATATTAAATATATAAAGATTAATATTTAATAATTAAATATTTAGGTATTTAACATAAAATTAAATAGTGTTATTATATAGAATATTATTTGGCGTATAACATTTTAAGCTTTATTGAAGTATAATTTACAAATCATAAAATTCACCCATTGTAGTTATATCTTATTTAGTAATCCCCCTCTTTTTTGAGTATGTTTATGTAAGTTCTGATTTTGTATACAACATGGTCAGAGTATTTACTCATGATGCCTCTGCATCTTATTATCAACATTTTATATTGCCTGGATCAGGCTTTCAGTCTTGAGCCAGATAGTGTTGGAGAACTCGTAGTTTCACACATAGGCTACAACTCTGATTTCTCCCGTCTCTGGTAGCCCAGGATATTGAGAACTTAGGGGAGGCATAATTTCCGAGACCTGTGTGCTCTTAATCTTCCCCAGACCTCCAGTAGGTGTTAAATTCTAACTATGAGTAACCATCAGGGTTTCACCTGAAAGTGGTTTCATAAAAGGCTGTGTGCTGCACAATGGAATATCTTGAGCCTAATGAAGTAGCATTTCAAAATGGTTTCATTACACCCTGCACATCCTTTTGGATCTGTTTAGCAATGGGAGGGCATTGAGAAATGTGGGGAATGTAAAGAGAATATGGGAGAATCTGGTGAGACTGGTTTGAGAATCCTTCAGGGTAGACTCCCAGCCGTTATAGAAACCAGTAAAACCAAGCACGGAGTTGGCGCTGCTGGTTTACTTGGTTTTGGATTGAACTAAAACTAAAGCCTGAAGGATTCCAGGTTCCAGTGTCAATCTGGACAGCTTCGGTCTTTCCTCTGGAGGCTCTGCCTGGGGTGCCTACACCGGGTGACATAATCACTCTCTCTTCCCATTGGTCTCTGTGCCAACTCACCTCATTTTTCTGTCCCGGTAGAAATTGGCTGGCGAGCAGAATTTCTCCCTGCAGACCACCCTCTGTCGGAATTTGAATATGACGTCATCATTGGTGCCGATGGCCGCAGGAACACACTGGAAGGTGAAGACTCTTCCTGGGGCCGAGGATGGGGACATGAGTGGGAGGGAGTGTAGCTGGAAGGGTATGGAGAAGAGGGGGCAAGGCGATAGATGCCAAAGCTGGATGGGGTCTCGACAGAAGGGCAGATTGCCCTGTCCTGCCTGAGGTGAGCGTTTAAAGAGCAGCCATTTAATTCTCTCTGAACCTTGTCTTTTCCAACCATAAAACAGGGAAAATAGAACCCTGTTAAGAACATTGTTATAAGGGCTGGGGAAGGACTCCTATGCAAAAATGCTTTATGAAGGTGAAGTGCCATAGAAATAAAAAGAAAAAATCAACATACATGTATTGAGCACCTGCCAGTGTTCAAACCATGGTGCTAAACATTTTCATACTTCATCTAAGATAAGCATTTTTATACTATTTATAGCATCAGTTTACTGTCAGGGATAAAATTCTAGAAGGAGGAGCCCTATCTCTTTTCATAACTTTTAAGTACATTCACTGCTGGGCAGTAAGATGAGTTGTCCCCAAGCTATTAAGGTACAAAACTGCTTCTCTGAGTTCGTAGTTTGGAAGCACAATGTGTTTTCTTGGGTTAGGATCTAGTTAGGTCGAGAAAGGAACCACATTGCCAGGGAATGCCTTCAGTCACCTCCACCCAGCCCCACCTTGCACTACCTGTGCTAATTTGAGGCCATGGGTTGTGGATACAGTGGTTCCATGTGGCATCTCTTTGACTAGGGACAGGTCTGCTTTTAGAGCTTGCCCTGCTCAAGGGCTACAGGCTGCAGAGGTCTGACTGGGAAGGCACCTTCTCTGAGGATGGAACACACTTCCTGAAACTAGGCTGATCATAGAGAATTCAGGCTATGAGGTTGGCCTGCTCAGGCCCTTGCCACCTGCTGGGCAAACAGTGCTTTTCTCTCTCATCACCTCCGTGCCTATTCCCTACCTCCTCGATCATAACCAATATCTGACAAAGGATGTCTAAGCTGCCAACCTGGGTGCTGTGTTGTTAGAGATTATGGGCCATTTGAATGGTCTGAGGAGACTATAAGTCTGAATATTTGAAAATTCAGGCTCAATGCTCAGCTCGAGAGTAGTTTGGCATTTCATGAACATGAAGGGCCAGGTGGTAAGGAGGGGCCACTGGGCAACTTGGGACCAAGAAAGTAGAGTAAAGCATGGTTTCTCAATCAGCACAGTTGGTGTTTTGGGCCAGGTAATTCTTTGTCATGCATGCTGTCCCCAAGACATTGTAGGATCCTTAGCAACATCCCTGACCTCTGTCTACTAGTCACCAGTAGTACCCTTAGTTGTGGCAACCAGAAATGTCTCGGTATTTTGCCAAATGCCCCCTGAGGGGCAAAGTCACCTGGTTAAGAAATGCTAGACTAGAGAATAATGACCACTTCTGACCATTTTGGACAAAGGTCTAATGAACAATGACTCAAAGGAGTAGGTATACAGTAGAAACACAAGATTTTTAGTCAACAGGATTTTTAACAAGGAAGTTTGGGAATCAGCGCAAGGCTTGGTTATATGGAGAGGGGATGTGAGGGGAATTCCCACAGGGGACTGGAGACCAAGGTTACGTCCCATGAGTCTGCTTGTGAGATGAGCACCCTAAGTTAGAGTGAACAGCAGTGCCTGGGGCAGAAGGGAAATCCAGGGCTCAAGGAACAGTCTGATGATAAAGAGAAAGGGGATTAGAAAATGGTCTGTTGAGATGTGACTACCTGCTTGTGATTTTCTCTATAACCCCCTGTGAGACTGTGGCTTTATGATAAGGAATACACATATACTTGATCTTCATCCCTTTCTTGCACAGAGCTCCCAAAAGCCCTTGGGATTTCCTGAGTGATAACAGCAATGGGAGCATCTTCTGTTATAATATTTGGTCTCTTGTTCTTAGTGCCTGAAATATCTTCAGGGCTATAAAGGTGAAATGGGTGCCTTTTTGTTCATAACAGGCCTGTTTCAATGATACCTGAGTTTATGTTAATGAGGTAATTTTTGGAAATCACCCAGAGATGGGGAGGGGACTGGTTGCCAGGGGAGCCAACAACAGGACTAGAGGGTTGGAACTCTCAGTCCCACCCCCTCACCTCCCGGGAGGGATAAGGCAGTGGAGATTGAGTTCAATCACCAGTGATCTACTAATCATGCCTAAGTAATGAAGCCTTCGGAAAAAACTCAAAAGGAAGAAGGTTCGAAGAGCTTCCAGACGGGCAAACAGGTGGATATTTAGGGAAAATGGCATGCTCTAAGAGGGCTTGGACACGCCACACCCTTTCCCTATACCTTGCCCCATGCATCTCTCCATCTGGCTGTTCCTGAGTTAACCAGTAAGTAAAGTGTTTCTCTGAGTTCTGTGAGCTCTGGAAATTAATCTAACCCAAGCAAGGACTCCTTGGAACTTCCAAACCATTGCTGCTGGTCGGTCAGAGACATGGGTTTGCGAGGCATCTGAGGGGGAGGGCAGTCTTGTGGGACTGAGCCCTTCACCTGTAGAATCTGATGGTGCATCTGGGTAGACAGTGCCAGAATTGAGATGAATCGCTGAGCCCCCAGCTGGTGTTCTGCGGTTGCTTGTTGGTGTGGAGGAAAGCCCACTGTGTAATTGGGTACAGAATTCTTACTGCCATTAAAAATACATTTCAGTACAAACCATTGAAATCTATAAGAACCCCAAGAAATACACTGTACTGCGTTAATTGGAAGTTAGAATGCCACCTATTCATTGTGCATTTACTGAGTGTGTACTAAGTGCTGGTCCCTGGACTGGGGATAAGAAAGGAAATTTGTTAATGTTCCTGTTCCACAGGGATTCAACCTCATAATCCTATTTTTCAAAGGGGAAAAACATGAAAATGCTAACAAAGTAGTTTTAATTGCATAAGTTTAAAGTGCATGTGGGTCTGTCAGGAGGTATCTGGCCAGCATGCCTAACACATCTTTAACAGGATGTGCCTGTGACTGTCTGTTGGAAATCATTTTAGCCTTTTGTTTGCTGGAGCCGAACCAGGATGATGGGTCCTGTTGCTCTCAGACCAGGAACACGTCTCGCTGATGTAGAAAAGCCTCTGGTGATGCGTTTCTTCTTTGGGTGCAGACCTCAGCCTTGCTGCCTACCCCTGGCCCCTAGAGACCCAGAATTCTGTTTTTACTGACCCATGGGGCATCTGAGAATAGCTTCCTCGATGATCTTTTTCAGTTTTCACACCAAATCCAGAAGAAAGACCCACTTCTCCCCCTTCCCTCATATAGGGTTCAGGAGAAAAGAATTCCGTGGGAAGCTGGCCATCGCCATCACCACCAACTTCATAAACAGAAACAGCACGGCTGAGGCCAAGGTGGAAGAGATTAGTGGCGTGGCTTTCATCTTCAATCAGAAATTTTTCCAGGACCTTAAGGAAGAAACAGGTAAGACTGTCACCTTTCTGCAGACCAGGCCATCGTCACTTCCTAAAGTGCCCCATGGAGCAACCTGGATGCTCGCTGTAATTGAGTGGAATCAGGGATTTCTCCTTATCTTCGAGGACAAGCTGAATTCTTGAGGGACAGTTCTACATGTCGTATGTGACTGTAGACGCCCATTTGTTTACTCAGGAAACACGTGCCGAGTGCCCGTTGTGTGCAGGTACTGACTAGAGTGGCATACGCAGCCGAGGCCAACATGGTCCCCACCTGAAGTGGCTGCCTGTCCAGAGAGGGACGCCCACATTACCCATCCTCGGGTGGGCTGGTCAGTCTGGTGGAGGATCAGCGAGAGATTCAGGGAGCACTCTGAGGGGCAGCCAGTAACCTGTGGCTGGTCCCTGAAGAAATCTAGGTGGCTTATGCATTGTGCCAGGAGCCCTTCCTCCCGAGGAATGTCCAGAGATGCCGGGGAGCTTGACACTCACCCAGGGGTGTCAGCTGTCCCCCAGGCATGGCCTTGAGGAAAGTATTCATCTGCTTACTCAACAGATAGGTATTGAATGCCTACTGGGTGCCGGAGGCTGTTCAAGGGTGAGATACAGCAGTGGGCCGAACAAGCAAAACCCTACTCTCGGAGTGCCTGTGCTGTAGAAAGAGAACATCCATAAAAAAATAGCTAACACATGGTCTCTAAGGATGGTGGGGGCGGGGTGGAGAGCGGGGAACAAAGCAAGGTGAGGGGAAAGTGACGGATGGAACACCTGCTCCCAATTAAGTGAACTCCAATATTTTTTCCTCTTTAACCCAATTTGAAAATACATACATTTCTCCTTGAAAAGACAGTGTCACAACGATGTTAAATCTTTACCCTGAAAATAAATCACCCATACCTAGCACCACCTAGCCCAGAATACTCCTCATTTTCATATACTTCTCTCAGTAATTTTTCACCTGCACGCCTACTTTCTACGTGGATCCGGCTCTCCTAGTGCCAACACTCTTTGTTCTTCTGCTTTTCTCAGTCAGCCTGACATTTTAGACACTGTCCCTGTGCTACCCCGTCGTCCTGACGGTCAGCTTGAGCAGAGCAGCGCATTCAGTGGACGTGTTGTCTCTGCTGGAGTGTTTTGAACCACGGGCTGGTGCACGGGCCGCCTGCACGCTCTGGCATTGCCTCCGGGCAAAGAATCATTGAACGTCTTCAGATGGCTGAGGAAAAGCCAAAAGAAGAATATTTTCTGACAAATTGAAAGTTATGTGAAATTCAAGTTTCGATGTCTAAAAATAAAGGGCCGTGGGCACACGGGCATGCTGTTCCGTTCCTGTTGCTGCCCACGGCCGCCCCACCACGGGCAGCGGCAACGGAGCCCACAGCACTGACTGTCGGCCCTTCACAGAGACAGCGTGCTGACCTCCCGTGCAAGCCTTTCAGTTAGTGCTGCAGCTGAAACTGCTTCGGTGGGATTATTTTGTTAAGATAGGATTCTAGGAATGGGACTGCCTCTCACTGGTCCCAATGGTGGGTGCCCATTGCATGACCCTCTGAAATTCAGCACAGTTGCAATATTTCACTTAAAAAGTATTTCCTTCCCGCATATTATGTCCCTTTGAATGATTTAAGAGTTCTACCCTCCCTTCCCCTCAAAAAACAAGAAAATAAATGCTTGAATAAACCACCAAATATAACTGGTGCTAGGACACTCAGTCTGTTTTTCCAAGAACTTGAATGAGCTTCCTTTAAACTCTGCCGTGGTCATCACCTCTGGCCATTGTTTCACAACACTGCCCCTCACACAGCAAGGGCGATGAATTTCCCCCGACTCTCTGGGGGGCCTCTGCATTGATGGCTGTTTCCTATTTAATAGCAATAAAGGGGTTCCTGTGGTTACCCAGCATGCCTCAGTGTTGACTGCTGATAAGCTTTCTACATCTGTTCCTTCCCCTCCACTGGAAGGAGCTAAGCCTGCACTTCTCAAATCAGAATCATCTGCGGGGCTTGTTAAAGCGCAGGTTGCTGGCCGTGCCCCCCAGGAGGTCTGGGTTGTGCCCTGGCATTTCAGTAAGTTCTCAGGTGATGCTGATGCTTCTGGCTGGCGTCCCCACTTAGAGGACCACTGAGCTAAGCTGTCATCTCACAATATTGTTTTAGATGCAGAAATCTAGTCTCTGAAGTGTTTTTGCGATGGGTGGAAAGTGAGGAAAGATGCGACCTAGCCCTCTAACCTGAGCTGCTCCTCCCAGGGACCCTGGGTGTTGACTCAGCCAAGAAGTGGTAGAAACATCACTTAGCTGCCTTCACCTGGGTAAATGCTGGCACTTGGTTTCACCTTCTCCAGCCTCGTATGTCTCAAAAACTCATCCAGTGTGAATATTCTGCAGGTACATAAAGGGGCAGAGTAGAGGTCCTGGCACAAAGTGGAGCTAGGCACTGAGGGGGCAGCACTGAGTGCAGGAATGCTTCTCTTTTCAGGGATTGACCTGGAGAACATTGTTTACTATAAGGACTGCACCCACTATTTTGTCATGACCGCCAAGAAGCAGAGCCTCCTGGACAAAGGCGTCATCATCAACGTACGTACCTCTTAGCTGTTACGCCCTGTTTTCCCTCTGGGGCCTGCGCTGGCAGCACCAGCAAGTGCAGGGGGGGCACTGCCCTACCAGAAACTGAACAAGGGGGGAAGAGGCAGGGACCCCCATGCACCACTTTCCTTCTCCCTGGTTTTGCGTGAGTGTTGGATCAATGAACCCACACCTGTACACCCAGAGGTGTTTCTGCAGAGACCTGGGGGGCAGGGGTGGGGCTGAGCCCTGACCCACGTGTTAGTGTGGGTCTTGACCCCCGAGAGGTCACCTGAGTCGTCTTCTTTCCCATGAGTTACTCAGCCATGCCCCCTTTTCTGGGAGGCCACCGTCATTTGGAGGCAGACGAGAGCTTCTCCATCGTAGCAGGACAGAGACATTCTCGCTTATGAATTCCACGCTGTAGCCCCCTTGTCCTGGTGCAAGGGAAAAACTCTTTTTTGTGTTGAATCCCAGCTCTGCCACCTATTAACCCAGGACCATGGCTCAGCCGCCTAACCTTTCTGAACCCCAGTCTTCTCACCTGCAGAGAAGGAATTAGTTTCTGTCTGAAAGGGCGGTTTGAAAGAGCACATTTAAAATTATATACAGAGCATCTAGCACCCTGCCTAGCATGTTGTGGATTGTAGATTCTTTCGATAACTTCTCCGCCCACTCTGGACACCTGCTGTTTTGTCCTGCTGGCTTCCTGGCCTCTGCTTCCTGCCTCTGCATTTTCCTGCTTAACCAGATAGCAGGGTTGGCGGGAGGGAGCATGGAGAGGCAGGCCCTGGGCTGGAAGCTTGTTTGGCCAGGTGTCCGACCTTTCCAGAGCCCCTGCTCTTGCCACTGCTGCTGCCGGAGCCTCATGATAAGGATCGAGCAGTCCAGGGTCAACTTGCTCTCTGGCATTGGCCTATAGCCCGGACAGCCTGGTGACCATTCACTGCTGCTTGTCAGAGAAGAATGTGCCTATGTCCTCGCCAGCTCCTGCTGGCAGCGGCTGGCTGGCATTAGTAACCCAGCCCTCCCCTGGGCCTCGTCCACATTGGTCAGGTCTTAGTTGAAAACTGAAGTTGTTGGATGGGAGGTATGAATGAGGGAGGGGGGTTGCACGAGGCTGGCTGAGTGCCACAAGCAAATGTGTGAGTGGTGGGTTTGGCATCTGGTACCCTACTGGTGACCTGGTTTGGGGGAGGCAAGGCAGTGTCCCTGTCTTTCCTCTGCTCCACAGATGTTTCTCCCAAAGTTGTGACCTCCGGTGGGATGCTGGTGCTGGATAGAGAACTATTTTGGGCTCCTGGGTGCAGGTGCAGTGAGCACCTTGGCAGGTTGGGGGGTGGGTATTGTGTCAGCCTCTGGGGCATTAGGCACATGTGACTTGGGTTTCCCATTTCACTGGCTGAGCACTCCAGCCTTCTGGGGTGCATTGGCCTTGGGTCATCCCCGGGCATTTACCCAGGCCACAGCATGTTGTTTAAGGTGACTCCATTCCTTGGCAGTTGTCAGAGTCCTTCCATCTCCCATCTGGGGCTCTCCATTGTGGCACAGGTGGGTGAGAGTGACTCACTCTGGGCCCACACATCACAACCACGGAGGCACTGGGAGCAGATCTCAAGCCCACGCTTGTCCTCACCAGGGCCTTTCTTCTCCCTCAGAGACTCTGGAAGCATCTTCTGAGCTGGTGCTGAGGGTCCTCTAGGTATAAGACATGAACTCCTATCTAGAAATTGAGGGCCATGGCTGGATAGGGGAGAACTGGACACCCATTTGGTTCAGGAGTTCTGGCCTGAGTCTCCAGGGGTGTGGTTAGCTCTGTAGTATTTGCATAAGCTGGGAGCTGCACCGCCTATCCTGAGCCACTTGAATTAACATTCATCTTGCTCCTGGAGGAATGGCAAATCCTCTCTGCTTCCCTCTCCCTGTATGGGTCCACTTCATCTCAGAGGTACACAGAAGGTGCTGAGAGCATGTTTGTTGAGTGACTGATCAAACTGCTTCCCCATCTATTCCTGCTGATCTCTGGGCTTCTTTCTATGGCTACTGGAGGGATAGGAAGGTTTCTCAAGAAACCATGCCTCTGGGCTCCCAAGTGTGTCCACTTTGCTCTCCCCATAGGGAGGGTGGCCCACCCCCCAGGGCCCTGCCTCTGCTGGCCCACACACACTCAGGCTAGAATTCCAGGATGCGGTGGGCTTGGTCTCACCACGATGGGAGCTTGGTTGCTAGGTGCGTGAGGTGGACGCACACCAGAGCTGTTGTTCCAAGGCTGAGTCCACCCTCATTTGAAGTATCAGGCAGGCACTGTCTGACCTTCACTTCTGGCCTACAGCCTCTTTCCAGCGTGACACTTGGCGTGACTGTTCTTCCTGCTGATTACCCACCTCTGCTCATTTTTGCTGCTTCCTTCTACTGCCTCACCTGTGACGTCAGCATTCAGCCTCCCTTCAGTATGCTAGCCCTATGGAGAATGGGGCCCAGATTCACTCCCCACTATCATCTGAATTTAGAACTGCTTCCCCAGGCCTGCCACTTTCCTGAGAGCCTCGTTCCCACTGTTTTCTTTCTCATCCTGTTTTCAACCCCTCACTGTGGTTCTGCTTCTGCCATCCACCCACTCACCTGGGACCTGCTGCCCTGCGAGGCCCACGGCTCCTCCCAGCAGGCCCAGGCCACGGGGACCTTCATCCCAATGCATCCTGGGGGCCTGTCCTTTTGCCAGGTCCCACACTCTTACTTGGGGCATTAGCACCAGCCACCATGTCCACATTTACCTGTCACCTGATCCACCTCAAGGGGTGCTTGTAGCATGTTTTGAAGAGGGGGCTTTTTGAGGCTTGTCTATTCATTTTTCCCTATCTTATCGCCACACCTTCAAGGGGAGGAAGTGATCACGGAACTGTAGGCACAGGTATGAGAAAGGAAATCACATAACAGGTGCTCCAGCCTGGACACGTGACCTGACAAAGGGCTCTTGGGCCAGTGTTGATGCAATTTGAGCGACGTGGTTTGGGTGTGGAAATATTAGCGTTCCTGGAGCAAGGTGCTTGAAATCACGGTTAATGGTTCCAGTAGGTCACGGTGCTTGTGGGTGAGGCTGGGCCTTCTCAGAGCTTTGCGATGCTCTCGCTGTCGCAGTGGGTGCGTCCGGGCTGCACATCTCCGTACGCCGCCTTTCCTGTCGTCATCACTGAGGACAGGAGTCCCATCCATCGGGCACTTCCAACGTGCCAGGCGTCAGGCTGTGGATTTTATAGTCTCATTCGGTCCTCACACGGCTCCGTGAACTATATGTTGTTATTCTTATGAACAAGTAAGAAAACAGAAGATCAGAAGGGTTTAATAACTTGCCCAAATGTGCATAGTCAGTAAACAGCAGCGGGGGGATTAGATCTGTTGCTCTCAGCAACCCCAGGGGCTGTGCTGGTCTCGTACACATGAGTCCCTGTGACCCCACAACCTCCTGGGGATGTGCACTGTCTAGGTCACCTTTTGGGAAATAGTCTTTCAGTCCCACAGGATGAGCGCATTTGAGCCTGGGAGCCAGGTGTCCCACAGTTCACTGCCAGCGTCCCTCCAGGATGGGGATCCTAGTCCTGCAGGCTCGGGTTTCTCACCCCCTGGCAGGAAGTGTAGCGGTCAACACTGAGAGCAAAGCAGGGCTCCGCATGCCCTCGGCCTCTGAGAAAAGGGGTCAGTGATTTTGGAGAGAAAGTTTGAATTATGTCCAGCACCCATTTCTTCTCTGATCTTGTTTGACCACTAAACACAGTGTGTCTGGACCACATTAACTTAGCTTAGTTCACTATAAAGTCGCTCTCTTCTCTTTTAATTTAACTGAAATTATCATGAGAAACAACCATACAAAATATGCCTCTATGCCGGCAGCAAGACCATTATTATGTGTATATTACCACACAGTGTTCTCTGTTGAAATCCCTCCGTGAGACAGTTCTCTCAGAACTCAGTGCCAGGAAAAAATTGCCTTCCCTAAAGACTTTCTATGCTTCCTTCTTTCTGATAAGGAGAGCCCTGCAATACATCACATTACCCTTTTACCCTGGGTGCCAGGAAGCTCAATGCCAAATTTCATGCTTAATCACAACTCTGTTAATCCTCACGGCTAGCTGATTTCATTCCTCTCTCTTCCCTTGGCCGATTTTCTAATCTCTGTTTTGATTAGCCTCACTGCACAAACCCCATTCCAAGGCCTTCTGTGCAAAGAAGTGGGTGTGAATCCTTGCCCTGCCGAGGGCAGGTTGCTGCACTGTGCCCCTGTTCTTCCCCCCAGGACTACATCGACACGGAGATGCTGCTGTGCGCAGAGAACGTGAACCAGGACAACCTGCTTTCCTACGCCCGCGAAGCTGCGGACTTCGCCACCAATTACCAGCTGCCATCTTTAGATTTCGCCATGAACCATTACGGGCAGCCCGACGTGGCCATGTTCGACTTCACCTCCATGTACGCCTCAGAGAATGCAGCCCTGGTGCGGGAGCGTCGGTCACACCAGCTGCTCGTGGCTCTGGTGGGCGACAGCTTGCTTGAGGTACCGCCTGCATTTGGAGCCCCCTCGCTCCTACTAGAAGATAGATCCCTGCATTTGTGTTTGTCCGCAGCATCTGCCGTCATGCCGCTGGGGAAGGGCAGGCCCTCCGCCAGTTGGGAGGACGCTGCCAAGCCCATTCTGGCCTCAGAGCCTGCCCTGGTGCTGAGTTCAGAGGAGCCAGTTCTTTCTGTATCAGCCAGAAAGCTTTCTGGTCCACCTCGGGGTTCTTCTGGGCTGCCCTCTTTGTTGAAGTACAAACTGAGGTGGCCCGGTCTGCCCTTCCTGGCCGTCTTTCTCAGAGCATGTGGGACCTCAGCTGGGCCAAGATTCCTTCCTCACGTGGGTGGATCTCTGTGGCCTTTCAACACTGAGATCATGTCGGATGCAAGAAAGACACATGGGCCCAAAGTCCAGTTTCCGTTCATGATCCCCCTGCTCAAAATTCTTCCCAGAAAATCAATAAATGCTAGGCTCCTTAGGTTAATTAAATACTTTCAGAAGGGATACATTTCCATCTTTAATGTAAGCACTAACCAAAATGCGTTTATATGTATTTATCCCAAGTTAAGTATCAAATTCCAAACCCTGCTTTGGGTGAGCATGGGACAGTTGAGTTAGAACCAAGCTTGGTGAATGAACCCTTGCTCACCCTTGCGTGTGGACTGCAACCTAAGTGCCCAGCACTCGCACCTCACCCCCACACCCCCTTCTCAGCTTTATCTCACGGTGCTCTCCTCCGTGATCTCTTCCCTCTCCGTAAGAGACGGACTCACCTCCCATCGGGCTCCATCATCTTCCAGCCACCAAGACTCCACCCACTGTTTTTCCCCCTCCTGTCTGTGCATGGATTAAAATGAGAATCCTAACCATTCTTAAAATCAGCATAAATGCACCTCTTTAATGACGTATTCGCTATTTCCCTCCCCCAAGGTGGGAATTTGCCTCTGCCTCTTTCGGGCCCCAAAGCAGGTTCGTTGTTCCTGTGTCGTAGGACCCTTTAAACAAGGCTTGTGCTGCAGGCGTTTGTATTTGTGGGGAACCTTAGTGGGCTGCCCCCCATCACCTCTCTATCCCCGCCCCAGTGCTTCGCACGGGCCTGGCAGTCGGGGCGGGCTGGGCAGAGTGGGACGGCAGGCCGGGAGTCGTCAGGACCAACCTGAATCTTGCGTGTCTTCCTTTGCAGCCCTTCTGGCCCATGGGCACAGGCTGTGCCCGCGGCTTCCTGGCTGCCTTCGACACGGCGTGGATGGTGAAAAACTGGGACCAGGGCACTCCTCCCCTGGAGCTGCTGGCTGAAAGGTGAGTATGGGCAGCGGGCTCGCGGCTGAGGCGGAACAGGGAGTGTGGCTGACTGTTAGGTGGCACCTACAGGAAGCCTCGGGTTCCTCTCATCTGCCTTCAGATGTTCTCTGATGTGCTCCAAGATGTTCTCCAAGCTCACACGTGGCTGGCTTGGTCATCAGGGCCCACAATGAAACTTTCTCTATCGTGATCTACCCCCTTCAGTGACTTTCTCTGGGGGCTGTAGGTCCTAGGTGCCAAGGAGAAATCTTCGTCCAGGGTGGCCCTGGAGTCAGGGTCTGGCCCGGCTCAGTTGTGCAGGAGCCTGAGGGGCTTTAGGGGAAGTTTCCATACAGGTGTCGAATGCCCTGCTCTGTGGCATGCTGGGTTCTCTGATCCGTCCCCCCTGCCCCTGACCCTGCCCCAGGCCTCTTCTGCTGCTAAGATCCCGGGCTTCCTCCCAAAACCCTGCTGTTGGCCACGTGGCTGTGACAGCTGGTGGGCTGGGAGAAGTCAGGCCTGGTGGGTGGGGACAGGCCTTGGCTGGTCTTGGGCGTGGAGGCCTGCGGTCACGAGAGATAGGCCACAGGAGGCCACATGGCTAAGTGGCGTTTATAACAAAACCATAGGTCACTGAGCTGCCAGCTCTGCTTGGGGAGGTGGCCAGCATCCCTGCCTCCCACTCCAGCCTCCTGACCCCTTCCTGCCTTCTCTCTGCCTTTTTGAACTTTCCCCACTTTGCAGATCTCAAGAACCACAAGGGCCAGGCATTGCAGTGGGGGGGCGGGGTAGACAAGCACATCTAAGAAGCCCTCGAGAACAGGAGAAGGGGCATCTGGGGAGGGTGGGACAAGGGCCTCAGGCTTCAAGAGCCATCTCTGATCCGGAGCTCTGCCTCCCTGCAGAGAAAGTCTTTACCGGCTGTTACCTCAAACGACCCCAGAGAATATCAACAAGAACTTCGATCAGTACACGTTGGACCCAGGCACACGGTACCCAAACCTCAACTCCCACTGTGTCCGGCCCCATCAGGTGAGTCCTTCCTTGGGGTCTCCTCTGGGTGACCCAGCACTGAGCAGTGGGAAGGAGGGGTCGCCTGAAATCTTTGCACGTCCCTGGGACCCTGGCCACCAGTCCCTCTTGTCCCAAAGGTGAGACCAGCTCCCCTCTCTAGAGCAGTCACAAGAATAGCGTAGAGTCAGCATCTCTCTGGCCTACAGGAGAGAAATGAAACACATCTGTATGTTCCTATTTGTGCGTATATTTACATGTGTTTCTTTGTCACCATTCATGTGTGTTGCTAAGCCCCACATGAATGGAAGCACACCTCTCTCAAAATCTTTGGCTGAATATTGAGTCCTTTCCCTCACCGTCCTCGCATTTATTGTTTTTCTCCCCTTGACCGAGAGCCATACAGCCTCTTCTGTCAATAGCAGAGTGGTGTGGGTTTTTAAAATGAGCCAACGAAGTGTATTTATACTTGAGTGCTTCCACATGGGGGGAGATGGAGACCTGTTGCTCCGTGTCTCAGGCGGCCTGGGTTTCCTCGCTGAGGGTCCAGCAGTGGAGGAAAAGGGTGGCTGACACTGAGTAGAGAGTAGGTCAGGTTCAGAGGCCCTGAGGCTAGAATTTGGGGGAGAGCGGTGGGCAGCTGTGCCGTCTCTCTTGCTTGTAGGTGAAGCACTTGTACATCACTACGGAGCTGCACCAGTTCCCCCTCAAGAGGCTGGGCTCAATGAGGAGATCTGTGGGCCTCTCCAGGCGCGGTAAGCAACCTCCTGGGACCCCAGGGAGGCCACTGGGGTCGGCTTTGTGGGGAAGAGGGCACAGGCCCTGCAGCCGGCCTGGCTCTGCACCGATGACCTGGTGACCTTGGCCAGGCCTCTCTACTCCAGTTTCCTCTTCTGCAAAAGCAGGACAGTGACACCCCTACAGCATACTCATCATAAAGGGGCGAAAATGTGTTGAGCATCTGGTACATTAAAGTGGGCTATGGGCCCTGGCTGGTGTGGCTCAGTGGATTGAGCATGGGCCTGTGAAGCAAAGGGTTGCTGGTTCGATTCCCAGTCAGGGCACACGTCTGGGTTGCAGGCCAGTTCCCAGTAGGGGACACATGAGAGACAAACACACATTGATGTTTCTCTCCCACTCTTTCTCTTTCCTTTCCCTTCCTCTCTCTAAAAATAAATAAATAAAATATTTTTTAAAGTGAGCTATGGAATGGCTTTCCTGGGACTTGCTTTTCTCTCCCTTTTATTTTCAGTATGGGGGTCTTGTCTCCCCAGCTGGACACCGGCCATGTGCTGATTTCCAGGGCCTGCCATAGTGCTGGGCACAAGGCCGGTGCTCAGTAGCAAAGGGAAGGGATGATCACATGTATGAGTCCCTGGTATCCACGGCTTTGCCCAGGTTGCTCTCCTGCACCCTCCCTGCCTTTGGGCCAACTCGGCCTACCAGCCCCCCTCCCTTCCCTGCAACACCCATGTTCCCCTGCTGCCACCCGGCCATCAGCCGGTCCACACAAACGCGGCAGGTTCCCTCGAGTCTGTACCATGGCACGGCCCTTTCTGTTTTCCTGCAATGCCTTCTTCTGTCTGATGAATCACTAGACCCCTCAAGAAGCAGCTCAACTGCCCCTCCTTTGTGACTCTCTTTGGTGAGCGCCCCAGCTGCAGCAGACTCAGGGCAAACCTGCTCACTTGCTCCCCCAGCACGCCGCTTCTCTGTCATTGCGGCACCGTGTCATTGTCACCTGCTTCTGTGTCTGCCCCCCGGGGTGCGATGTTGGCAGAGTCCATGTTGTCCTCACCGCTGTGTTCCAGAGGGGCATCTTAGGGACTCTTCGCTGTAGGAGAGCATGCTTCCTCTTCCAGCATCCGCCCTCCCACCATGCTCTTGACAGGGTTTCTTGCCTTGGTTCCTCTTGGTCCCCAGCCACGGTGGCAGTTGGAGAGGGGACCCCGAGGTTTCCCCAGAGCACTACACTATCTATCTCTCCTTACTGCAGAGTCAGACATCCGGCCCAGCAAGCTCTTAAATTGGTGCCAGCAGCAGACCGAGGGCTACCAGCACGTCCACGTCACTGACCTGACCACCTCCTGGCGGAGCGGCCTGGCCCTGTGTGCCGTCATCCACCGCTTCCGGCCTGAGCTGATGTGAGTCTGGGGCCCGGGCCGGACCTGCCATGCTCCTCCAGGGGCGGGGCGGGGGAGGGCGCCTGAGACAAGGGAAACCAGGGCTGTTGTACTAGATGCAGAATCTTCAGAACTTGGTTCACAATTTCTCTGCATATTTTTATTTGTTTTTTTTTTCTTGTTCATTTTTTCCCCTTTGCACTGATTAATCAGCCCACAGCTCATGTGATCTGTGTTCTTAACGTGAGGAGCAAAAGTGACCCAGGCAAGGCGGTTGTACTTGTCTCCCCGCCCCCTCCATCGCCACACTTGGGAAACGTGAGCATCTGCACCAGGGCGCTCTCCCCTTGAGGCAGGAGTTATGGGCAAGACTTACTTCTGGGGGACTATGTCGAGGTTTACAGCCAAAATATTAGGTTTGAGACCCAGAGTTATTAGCTGCGTACCATTGGGCAGGCCACTACCTTCTCTGAGTTTGTTTCTTCATTTATAAATTGGGAATAATGTCAGGTTCATTAGGAAGATTGAATCATGTTGGTGGAAATACCTTGTGATGCTGAAAGCACAATGCACCCATTGATGTTGCATTGAAGTCAGCGTGTGCAGTGTAACCTCACACCCAGGAGCACATTCCTCCGCAGGGCTGGGAGGAGACCTTCCACAGGGTTATCAGTCAGTGCCTTTAGGAAGGGAGGTCGCCTTGAGAAGGGGGTGAGGCTCTCACTGATTACATGTTATAAGTAACTTGACTCTTTTTGTTACAAGAAGCCCACGTTGCTCTTGTAATGGAAAGAAAAAGAACATAAGGGAATTATTTAAAAGTAAAGTAGCTCATACATTTCCCAACGTGGCGTGAATCATTTTCCGATGGTTTTTGGCCCAGGCAACAATGACATTGTCATGGCCCAAATCTGGTTTTGTCCCACCCTGAGCAGGACAGTGTTAGCATCTTCTGATTGAGCCTCCTGGGGCGCGAGGTAGGGGGTGTGATTTGGGACAAGGGTTGGGGTCACTGCTCCTTCACCTCCCATCTCTGCCTCCCCTGCCTGATTGCCACCTTGCTTTGATTCTCTAGCAACTTTGACTCTTTGAATGAAGATGACGCTGTGGAGAACAACCAGCTGGCGTTTGATGTGGCCGAGCGTGAGTTTGGCATCCCCCCAGTGACCACAGGCAAGGAGATGGCATCAGCTCAGGAGCCTGACAAGCTCAGCATGGTCATGTACCTCTCCAAGTTCTACGAGCTCTTCCGGGGCACCCCGCTGAGGCCTGTGGGTAAGGACCTGCTTCTGGACCAGGCTTCACGCTGCCCTTGAGTCATTTCTGCTCCATGCCCATGTCTGGCTGCTCTTCACACTGGTGTCTTCTGGGGCTGACTCACGTCTTCCCTTTGCCGTGAGGCCAAATGGGGTGGGCCCTACCCACCTGGACCCATGCATGTCGGTCTGTCTGTGTGCGGTGCCACATGACGCTGGGCACCTGCCCCTGCTTTGGGAGGTCTCTGACAGAGCTGCACCAGCTTCCAATCCAAGCCATTTACATCTTTAGTTGGGGGAGAGAATTATTTTGGAGGGAGCTTGCAGCAAAGACACTTCTGAGCCCTCGGGTAGCCGTGGCAGGATCCCAAACTCAGTCATACTTTTACTTCCTAACAGACTCTTGGGGCAAAAACTATGGAGAAAATGCTGACTTCGGCGTGGCCAAATCATCCCTCCCTCACAACTATCTCAACCTCACGTTTCCAAGGAAGAGGACCCCACGGGTAAGTCTGGGCTTGGCTGTTGTTTCTTTTCTTTGTGCACACGCCCGGGACGAGGACGTTGGAGAAAGTCCTGCTCTTGGTCTGTTTCCGCTGATCAGTCACACGGAAAGCGCTCGCAGGAGACACGAGTGAGATTTGGTTCAGTAACTGAGTGTTTTGGAAGTTTCCCCGGGCATTTTCTGGCTTGCCCAGCTTCAGTGGCTTGACAGTGGTCATAGGGAAGGTCACGGTAGATCAGCTCCACCTCCTAGGAGAGGAGGAGGAGACACTTTGTCACTTTGTTAAGCAGTTTCTTCCAATCAGGGGCACAGTGGCCATGTAGTGGCAGGTGTGTACAGTGTTGCTACATTCCCAGTCTGTTCTATCCATTTTTAAAATTTGTCCAACAAATGTTTATAGAGTCCTACCAAATGCCACCATTAGGGCTGAACTTCTTGTTTGATTTCGACGAGGGGAGAAGATATACAGAGATGAATAATATACGGGCCTTGCCTTTGAAGAGCTCAGAACCTAAGAAAGAGGTCCCCAAACTCTCCTGACTTACAGTACCTGAGAGTCTCTGTAATCTTTGTTCACAGTGCCCCTAGATTGAAAGAAATACCTAGATATTCCTCTTATTAAGTAGTGAAGTTCCAATAACTTAGTAGGGGTATTTTGCAAGGTATGTACAGACTTCACCATGCTTTCCAAGAAAATTTACAATTTTCTGAGGCTCCGCTGTGAGTTTACCAGGGGTCGCCTTGGTACCCGGTCTGGGGAGTATGGGCCTACTGAGAAAACATAACCTCATTTGAGCGACCGCATCTTTGTGGACGGATAACATGAGTTGCGTTGCTCACTGTGTTCATGGTGCAGATTTTACAAAGGAGGCCCAGGGATGGTCGGTGGCCCCGAGCTCTCCCTCCCTCTCCAGCACGCAGGGTGGCCCTCCCTCGCTCGGCAGGCCTGTGCATGTCTCAGTCTCTCTGAGCTGCAGACAGTCTCCTAACCCCTGGCCGGTCATGCCATGTCCTGCCAGCCCCTCCGCCCAGGGTGGGGCCGGGGCCGTGCGGCCTCCTCCCTTTCTCTCCGTTGTGTGTGCCGTGGTCACTTTTTCCACTGCCGTCTGCACTCCCTGGGAGGCTGCAAGCAGTTGTGCTAACTCCAGGAGTGGGTCGGTGCCTAATGCCCCACCACGCCCTAGATCGGGGAGGGGATGGGCGAGCCAAGCCAGGCCTGGGGAGGAAGGCGTGTGTGCAGGTCTGCTGAGGTTTCCAGCAGGGCAGTTGAGAGGCTGAGACCCAGCTGCTCTGTCCTGCTCTGCGCCCCATGCTGCCCATCCCTGTGTGAGGGCCGCGTCACCTACCACACGTCCCAACAATGAGAACTGACTTCTGGGGGGCCGCCATAGGCCCGTTTCACCCCACGCCACTCGTGTTTCCTCTGAAGCCCGAGGACCCCACTCTGGGCTGCCCCATCCCAGGGAAGCTGACGTAGCCTTTCTGGAAGCTCTCTGGGCCAAGCATTTACTGCCTTTCTCCATTCACCTGGCTTCTCCCACCACAACTGGGCACAGCAGGGGGAACCAGAGAGGACTACTGAAACCTTGCACACACCGCACCTCTGTTTAAAGAGTGACCAAAACAAAAGGGCCTGGCCAGCTCTGGCTCAGGAGGGGGGATGGTCAAAGGTCAGTAGTCAGCAAGGCCAGCCAGGCCCTCAGTGGCTGCTGGGGCCTCGCTCCACTGTCTGCTGGCTCTGCTAGGAGATGCAGGGTAGCAGGGGCGCCCTGCCTGACCAGCCTGGACTGATTCTGAACCATGTCCGGCCTCCTCGAGGGTGCGCCCAGAGGCCATCCATCCTGAGAGAACTGAAGAGCCACAGATCCGATCCCCCCACAACCCCATTTAATGCCCCCAATGTGCCCTGCTCTTCAGATAGGGAGAGAGACCATTAGGTCATTGAAGTCTCTTATTTGTCCTCTCTTAAAACCAATTAATTGCCTTCTCTGGGTGGGATGGCAAGTTAGCAAGGCCAGTGGGTCACACGCTCCCTTGGTCATCACAGCAATTGTCCACTTCTCTGTGCCAGGGTAATTACATCTCTAACCCTCGATGCCCCGGCTCATGTGCCCTGTGGGCTGGAGAGGCAGGGCTGGCCCCGCTTGCATGGTTCTCCCCCGTAGGTGCACCACAGTGTCTGCACAGAGGTGCATCTGTATTCGACCTCTCCCGTTCCTCCCTGCACTCCTCCCACCAACCGCCAGGGTTGCACTGTGACGAGGGAATTGAACAGCCCACGTTTGTTCACAACGAGGCATCTTAACCTGAAGAAGCTTCATCGTTTCTCTGCTAAGCCAGTTGTAAAAATATCTCTCCTTCAACAGTTTTCACTGTGTTAAATTTTTCTCTCATCCCTGAGGCTGATAATGTCAAAATCCCAGCAAGACTGACCAACATTAGTGAAAATAAGACTTTTCCTCCACCAAGGACCATGCTGATGTTTAGAGTCATTTTCCCATTCATCCACCAAGAGGGCTGTCCTAGTGAGTGGTAACTATGGAGTTGACTGATTGGCTCTGAAGACTGGACAGTCCAGGCTTGTGAAAGAAGAGCTTGAGATTATATTTATGCCTTTTATTTTTTATCCTCACCCAAGGACATGCCTACTGATTTTAGAGACACACATACACACACTCACATACACACGGAGAGACATCCATGTGAGAGGGAAACATCAATCAGTTGCCTATCATATGCCCCCACCAGGGATTGAACCCACAGCCTAGGTATGTACCCTGACCAGGAATTGAACCTGCCACCTTCTGGTGCACAGGATGATGCTCCAACCAACCGAGCCACCTGGCCAGGGCTATATTTTCCTCTGAATAAGCCCTTGGTCTCCTTGCGCAGATCTGCCTCAGATCCTGGTCAGGATCTAAAAGCCTCAGGACAAGCAACAATCCTTGGGGACTCCATGCACCACAGGTGACACCTGAACACATATGGTCTCTGTCCTCACTCTCCTGGACCTGCCACATGTGGGCAGTGCCTGCACGTGCGGCCACTTCGGCCATTACACGCGTTACGTTACACGTGTACTCAGGGTACCTGATCTTTTCTCCATCGTGAGCCCATTCCTTGGAAAACAAGGCAGCGTAAACACTGTCCCTCATCCCTGAAAAGCCCATCCCAGAAGCCAGCCTAGCAGCCCCAGGATATTCATCCTGCTCAGCGGACTGACCCTGACCCAGGCCCATCTCCAGCACTGCTCCTGGTAGAGCGGAGTGCACGGGACTCATGCCAGTGTCTGGCCTGGACAGTCGGGGCCTCCCTCCCAACTCTGCTCCCCTGAACCCCCCTGCACATATACTCTGCAAAGAGCCAGGGGTTGCTCTGCAAGAAAGTGCTCCCTCCACCAACCGTTCAACACACACTCACCGAGTGCCTATTTCATGTTCTCTTCTCGGAGCTGGGGAGTAGAGCAGGAACAAGACCAGCAGGGGCCCTGCCCAAGGGGCCTGGCCTTCTGGAGGGCTTCTTAAGTTTCTCTCACTCCCCTTCTCTGACTAGTCTCTCAGAACCACCTACCCAGCAGCCAAAGCCCCCCACGAGCTTTCTAGTGCCTCTCAAGTCAGAGATCAGAAGAAGGATTAGGGGAGGCAGGAGGACCAGGCGCTGATGCTGCTGGCTCAGCAGGTACAGCGCCCTTGAGCAGCCCCCAGCCCCTGTGGTTTGCGGGCTGGTCTCCCCTGCCCCCGCACAGCCACAGCCCGAGGTCCTGTGCTGACTTACAGAATGGCCCTGCGTGTCGAAGCCTTAGGTCTGCTGGGGATTCACACGTTTAAACCTCTCAGGAAGTTCCTTGCTTGTATGAAGAATGATTATAATTATGAACATCACATTGCTATGAAGACACCATAAATAAATGTCTGCTGCAAGTTGGAGCACATTCTTTGGCACACAGAAGGGGCTCTGGAAATGATGGGCCGTGCCCTTTGTGAGCACTGGTTAAATGAACAGGTGCATCTTCTGAAGAGACGGGTGGGACTGGCTGGATTGAACACTTGCTTCGGTACTGCGATCATGATTTACGAAGCACTTTACAGCAGATGAACAGTTGCCTGTATATCTCACTTGCCCTTTGTGCCGCCTTTGGAGGAAGGCAGGACGTGTATTCTCACCCCAGGTTTGCAGATGGGGAAACTCAGATGTAGGGAGGTTAAATTGCAAGGTCATGTGGTGGGGAATGTCAAAGTCAGGACTAGAATTCAGATTTTCTAATTTCTGCTAACTGGCATCAACCTAAGTGATGGTGTCTAACACCTATACAGTACTTTATATTATAAGAAGTGTTTGACGTACATGATTTTATTCGTTGCTACAACAATTCATGAGCTAGATAGTGTCATATCTTATAGATGAGGAAACTGAAGTCAGAGAAGTTGGGTGATTTCCGTAAGGTCACACAGCCAGGAAGTCACTAGTGTCAGAACTTGAACCCTTGACTTCTTACTGCCATTGAAGAAGAGTAGAGCTCTCTTGCCAGTGTGGCCAGCCCTCTTTTTGTGTCTCCTGAAGGCCCCCTGCTCAAGCCGGTCAATGCCTACAATGGCCAACTCTCTTCCTGTGACCCTGACCTAAATTTCTCCAGTACCAGCTAACTAAATATAAAGCGTGTTTGCTTCAGGCTAAAATCACATTATGTCAGGTAGTATGGGAACATGGTTATTTTGTGTCAATCAAATAAATGACCACATTGGCAGGTGTATATCTAATTTTTTTTAATGGAGATACCAATTAGTTTAATAAATGAGTCTTGGTATGTAGACTCTTACAAATCATTGCATAATCATGGTGAGAGTCTGGGTGGAAGGGATGGAACAATTAATAGGAAAACAAAGTGAGTTATTGGTTTAGTCTCATGCTCTGTCTGAATGGGCCCAGTAAGTATTTTCCTCCTCCTTGCACCCCAGTTCTTGGTAGAACAATATAGAGCCCAAGGAGATGGGGGTGCGGAGGCAACCTTACTTCCCGAATAGAGATAGATACCCGAGAGAAGAAAATAATCGGTAAATTTCTAGGTTTGTGTTTTCTCCACCATTTCATTTTAACCTGGCTCTTAATTGAGAATCAAGTGAATAAACCCACCAGGAAGAGCAGAGCCTGTTTTGGTGAGCTTGTTGCTAGCCTCCCCTCAGAGACCCCATTTTACCGCCTGTGGGTCAGGCAGAAGTGGGGGAGCTGCGGCTGCCCCCCGCATTTTCTTTATTCCCTCTGAAGGCCTCGGGGCCTTTGGACACACTTTCCCCAGGAGTGCTTTCCATGGGCTGAGGCTAGCATCCTGGGTCTGGACCTAACCAGGCCCTGAGGGTCGGAACAGTCAGGCACACCCGGGCTTTTAATGGGAAAGAGAGAAGATGTGTTGCTCTCTGAGGGAAAAGCCAAGTCCTCCTTTAAGGCGGCAACAAAAATCCAACAGAAAATGCTCAATTATGCACCCAGAGTCCTTGCTGGCGGGGACAGCCTGTCCTTTCCCAGACCGCAGTCCGTCTCCTGGCCCGCGAGGCTTTCCCAGACGGGGGACTGGGGACCCAGACGGCCTGTGCCTCTAAGACCCGGCGTTGTTGCAAATAAGGTCATCTGTTTCTCTTGATGTTTGCCCAAGCGTCGGGGCTGAAAGAATTTCCATTCACAGAATAATGATTTATTGGAAGCTGAAGAAAATGTGGAAGGGAAAGCAGGGCCCTTTGATCTGTTGATTCTCTGCTGCCTGGGCAAGGGGAGGATCAGAGTGTTCAACAAATATCAGTGACTAAACTCTGGCTGATCTTGTCTTTAAAAATAGTATAGGTTCTGGTAAATACGGGGAGGGATCGGGGGTGAGGGGAGCGTAAGAACTGGGGAAGCGGGTGCTTTCTGTCGGAAGCAGGTGAGTTCACAGCAGACTGTGCTAGGGACTCCAGTGTTATTGCTGTTAACTGTTATATATAGTGCATTATTATATGTTATGATAACATCCAAAATTATTAGTATTGGTCCAGAACCACTGGGAGATAAAAGAATCCTCTTGTGACTGGGCAAGTTTAGGTTGTATGGGGCAGATGGGATTCCAGGCCTGGGCTGAGGGGAGAGAGTGGCTAGCAGCCCTTGCTGCTGCATCCAAGGTGGAACGAAGGCCAGGTTTAATCTGGGCCCATGAGGGAGGGCCCTGTGGGGCGGGGAGGCCCCCAGCAAGAGGGATATCTAGTTGGTGGGGATGATTCTGTGGTTCTCAGGGGGCTGGCAGTTTGGCAAAGGCCCCAGCTGGAGCACGGTGGTAGAGAGGTCTAACCTCAGTGTTGAGAATGGACTTGCCCCCGCTGGGTGCGGAGGACATGCGGAGGAGGTGCAAAATTCAGCCCCCAACCCATCCCAGCCCACTGCGTCAGCACAGCCTGTGCGGTTTCACTCCTGCCCTTGAGAATCAAGCCTGCCAGTGGGTGGCCTTGGGTGGTCCATACAGGGGTGATGTGATGGGCTTGGGTAGTGCGATTTAGATGTCCGGATTCCGGTATCAGAAAGTAGACTATGGAAGAGCATTGGTAGGGCAACCATCTAACTTATTTTCTAAACCTGGGTGCTTTTTAGAGTGAAAGGCAGCACTATATTATGCCAGGGGGGAAGAGCAATAAATCAAAACTCTCCTGGGCACACTGGGTTCTATCCTCATGGCAGTGTTCAGAGAAAATCTGGAGCTTTGTGGGAGTTAAAACATCATGAAGTTAAAATACAGCTGAGGTGGTGCCTGAATGGCAGATGTAATTCACTATCAAATCCTTGGGTGGCTGCTGAGTCCCAAGAATCCAGCCTATGAGGTGAGCCAGTGTCAGCGCCTTGTAGGAGGTGGTCCCATAAGGCAGCACCCCAAGGGGCTCCAGCAGGCCTGGCTGTCACTGCCCTGAGCCCAAGATGATATCCACAATGGGGATGACCCCTGCCTTGTCACAGGGAGTCTTTGCACTTTGGGACGTTTCAGCACAGTTTGGGGTGTGACTCCCACCCCTACTGCAGGCATGGCTTCCAGGTGGAGTGAGGCATCTTGCACTGCTCCTGGCCAGAGCTCTGTGCAGCATGGGTCACGGCGTGGGGTGGGTCACGTCCGCCTGTCTCCTGGGCATGCCCAGCGCTGGTGCAGGGCTGTCCACAGAACCACAGTCCTTCGTGCCCTGAACTCACTGTGCTTTCCTGGCTGTTGCAGGTGGACAGCCAAACCGAGGAGAATAATGACATGAACAAGCGGAGGCGGAAAGGCTTCAACAACCTGGATGAGGTTTGTGTGCACAGGGTCAGGTTCAGCAAAGGCTGTGGCCTGACAGCCGGAGGCCCAGGCCCGCCCTGACTTTCCCCTCTCAGGAACCACTCTGCTCCAAGTTTGACGTGATGGAAAAACGGTCGGGTTCTGGTCCCTCCTCCACTCACTTCCCAGCTCTGCGACCTTGAGAATCAGAACCTCCCAGGGTGGGGTTCATGCCTGTAAAATACAAACGATACCTTTGAAATGTCTGAAACTTGGCAGGATTTTTAAAGATTAACTAAGAAGATGTTATATAGCACGCCGGGCATGATAAATGGCACCTATGCTAATCAATAGATAACCACTATTAATAGCGAGTTGTAAAGAGGCACCAGCTGACCCACTTATCTCCTCAACGTTGTTTCTACCATTTATTTGTATTTTCTGCACTTTCAGTCTGTAAGGACAATGTCCCAGTGCCCACAAGTGCCACCTTCTGGTGACAGAAGAAAATTACAGGCTACTTTGTCAAAAGCAAGCACGAATTTCTCTCCTCCTACTGAAAAATTGATCAGCAGAAAAAGAGAGTATCAGTTCTGCTTCCCCAGACAGCTCTTTAAAGAAACCCGAGATACCCCCTTCACTTGAAAAGGCCGTTCTCGTCCCTCAAAAGCCGGCCCAGAGACTGTCAGTGAGCTGCGGGACACCAGCTTCAGCTCACCTGGTGGCTGCTGTCATAATTATGACGTAGAAGCACATGGCATAGTCTGGTTTGCATAATGCATTGATACCTGAGTTATAGGGGGCTTAGAGAAGATGTCCACCTTACATGGTCGAAGAGGTTTCATTGCTGTATATTTTTGTGACATTGTTGTTCACACCTGGGACTGACTGCATGTGGAAACCTTGGCTGGAGTCAGGCCCCTGGTTCTCACAGCTGGACTTTGTAACAGCTGAGCCACAAAGCCCCGCCCTGGGCAAAAGGGGAGCTGCCTATCGCTCAACCCATTTCCTGGGATGCTCAAAGGGAGGCGCTGATATTAAAAAGCCTGGAGTTTAATTCATGTCTTACAATGAGCACAAAAGAACTCATTTTATCCCATGAGTTCCACTCAGGCTTGTTGGAACCTTTTCTAGAACTTCTTTGGGTGGTCCCTTCAAGAGTGCTTGCTTCCCTGTCTCTTGGCTCTGGTGTGAGCCAGAAGCCAGCGGATAGGGAGATGCTGGTAACTGAGTGAGGAGGAAGCAGAGACTGAACAACAGGGCAGGAGAGGTGTCCTACTTCCCTGGCAATGGGCACTGGCACTCACCACCGGTGATCGGCTCTGACCTCCACCTCAGGAGCTTCCCGTGCAGGCACGTTTTCTCAGGGAAGTCTCCCCCTGCCTTTCATCCAGGGCTTACCTGGGGGGCTGGGGGGGGTGGTTGTGTTCTTTCTGTTGATGACCGCATAGGAGTGGAATGTGGGAAGAAATCTGGTAGCACCCGCCCCTTCTGAGATGGCGCTGGGCTGTTTTCTGGGCCAGCTGGTTTGCCTCCAAGTCAAATTTAACCAAACCAGTCTCACTCTCATCACTTGGCAGCCGGTTAAAAATGTGGAGTCTCAAGGCCCAACCCCAACCAACAGCGGAACCCAATATGCTTCCGAAGGAGCCCCTGGGACTCATGTCTGGGAAGTGCTGTCTGCACGACCCGCTGTCCTGGCCAGCCTCGACCTTGGGCAAACAGTGGCCGCTCCAGTGAACCCGCCTGTGCGCACTCTAGGCTGCGTTGCTATGAGAGCTGCATTTCCCACTTTGAAGTGGGGAGTGACTCCGGCCGGTGTTTGCCCAGCGCTTCGCAGTGGCTGTGCACACAAGGCTTCCCATGCAGCTGCTGCTCCTGGGAATATTTTTTTAAAACCATTGACTCTAGCTTGCTGCTTCCCACAAATTTCTTCTCAGTGAACACATCTTTGTTTGTCTTGAGAATCTCCGCTTCTGTGGGGGAGATTCACTGTCTCCTGGGGAAAGCAGGCTGCCTCCCTGACATCACAGTGCCCTTTACACTTCGAGGCCTGTGGAGCAGATCCTGTGGAAGGGGAACGGACATTCCATGAACCCTGGTCGTTCTCCAAGTCTTACGTTTGGCCAGTGAGCTAACGAAGCCTTGCAGGGAACCCCACTTTATAAAACACATAACGGAGTGATCACAGCCCACGTCGCCCAGTCATTAGGCACGTTGGTGCCACGCACCCTGATACACAGCAGAGAGAGGAGCACCTCGCCTCTGAGGCACCCTTCTCCCAAGTCCATGACCTTGGTCTGATCATGCATGAGGAGGCACCAGAGCAACCCAGGTGAGGGGACTTTGCACACAGTAGCTGACCAGTCCCCTACAAAACTGTCAAAGTCACAAAAGACAGAGAAAGATGGAGAAACTGTTGCAGGTGGGAGGAGACCAAGGAGAAATAATGACTTAATTCAGTGTAGGATTCTGGGTTATATCCTGGAGCCACCCAAGGACAAGTACAGAAAAAGCGGTGCAGTCCAAATCAAGTCCATGGTTAACAGCGTCCTGCCTCAATTTCTTAGTTATGGTAACGGTTTCATGATTACTCCAGATGCTGACGTTACGTGCCCCTGGTGAAGGGTGTGCAGGAACTGTCTGTGCTATCTTTGTAACTTTTCTGGGACTCTAAAACAGTTTCAGAATTAAAGTTGTTTTTAAAAGACAACAGCAACAACAGAGCCAGACAGGTCGGAGCTGGGAGTGGGGTGCAGAGGAGAAAGGGGAGAGAAGCCCGCAGCCTGAGCGCGACCGACATGTCTCCGGTTCCCCTCCTCCTCGCACTATTCACCTCTTGGAAGCCTCAGGATGTGTTTTGAAAATAATTTCGCTCACTGCTTTGTTACTATATTTGATTTTATTTTGCAACAACTGTGTAAAGTAGGTTATGCTCCTACTTCACAAAGGAGGAAGGAAACTTCAGGGAAGTCGATTGCCAAGGTCACTGGGCTGGAAAGTGAAAGAGTCAGGACCGAGCCCCTAATTCTCCAGCTCTCCAGCTTGGGCGGGCCCACCTTTGGGAAGACGCAGACCCTCCCACGGGTGTTGTCTCCACTTGGGCATCGCCTTCTGTTTGTGTCTCACTTCTTCAGAACACGGAGGGTCTCCTTCTTCGGGAAGTTGGTTGCCCCATCCACAGACCCCAGATCCCCTCCCTGATATCTGGGTTCTGGGACCCAACCACCAATGCTCTGCTCTGGCCTTTGCAGCCTTCCACCTTTTCCAGCCGGAGTCTGGGCTCCAGTCAAGAGTGTGGCAGCAATAAAGAAGGTGGCAATCAGAACAAAGTCAAGTCCATGGCAAGCCAGCTGCTGGCCAAGTTTGAGGAGAGCTCTCGGAACCCTTCACTCCTGAAGCAGGTGAGTCCCACCGTTTGCTCCCTGGACCTGCCTCCTTGGCGACCAAGAACCGAGAAGCCAGAAGAAGTGCTTGGGCTAGGGATGGGTGTCAGGTATGCCCACCAGGCCCGGCCCAGGTGAGCCTTCTTCTGGACCAGGAGTCGGCAGAGTTCTCTAAAAGGAGCCAGATGGCCAATACTTCAGGCTTGGGGGGGCCATCTGATTTTTCTTGTGGCTACTCAGCTCTGCCGTGATAACACGAAAGCAGCCATAAACAATACGTAAACACATACACATGGCCGTGTTTCAGTAAAACTTTATTTATAAAACAGGCAGCAGGCCAGACTTGGCCCAAGGACAGTAGTTTGTCATGCTTGTTCTGCATGAGAAAAGAAACCCTTCCCCTAGTTTGGTTTTACTCTGCAACCACGACTTGCTCTGCACCCACCTATGAGACGGTGCAGCTGGAGGGAGCTTGGAAGGTTCTGCTGCCTGGGGGAGCCCTGAGTTCGCGGTGGGAGCCCCAACCAAACATGGGAAAAATGGGTCATTGCCCCACGTGGGCCCGCAGGAATGGGGACCGGCCTCCCAAGTGCTGTGGTGCCCCCACCCCATGTTCCCTCGGGTCAGGCGGCAGGGCCACGTGTCTGACCAGCCTGCGGTGCGTCTGCCAGTGGTCAGCGCCGTGGCGAGGCGGCAGACTGAGCTCACTTCTCTTGGACTCCGGTGGGGTCTGCGCTGTGTGGCTTGGTTTGCTACCCTTAATTCCTCTGGGGTGCAGCTGTCACAGTGCCAAGGGCAAGGGCAGGAGTTGGTTTTCCTTTGGAGAACACTTGTCACGTGACGGAATTAGGTTCCTCTCAGCAGGAGGGCAGAGTCAGGTTAACTGTGTGTTTAGAGGTAATCGTAGGTGTTTTCCTGGTCCAGGAAAAGAAAAAGACCTTCCCAGGAAGCCAGGTTTATTGAAGGGGGTCATTTTCCTGAGACTTGTCACTCTGAATTTCTTTTTCAATTGCCTCTTCTGGCGGCTTGGGTCCTTGCAGCCCCCAAGTGTTGCTGATGGACAGTAGCATCCTGTCCCCTAGTAGGCAGCAAGCTTTTCTGTTTCCAGCAGGACTCCGGGGCCAGCCACCCAGGCCTGGCATGGGCTCCGGCAGTGCCTGTCCAGTGCCCCGGGTCTGAGCCAACAGCACGGCCTCCCTGAATTCACACGTTGTCCCAGAGGAGAGGACTCTGGGACTTGCTATCCTCACGGTCAGAGAGCCAGGGGTCAGGTTTCCTGGCAGGGCCCAGCCTAAGCTCAGCCCAGGGCACTGTCTCTGTCTCTCTCTGTACCTGAAAACTCTCACTCTCTGCCTCTCTTACTCTCCCCCCTCTGAGTGTCTCAGTCTGACTCAGCCTTTTCCTTCATGTTTCCTGCGGCTGCTTTTGGGGACTCACCTTCCTCCTCCCAGGAAGTCAGCGTCTCGGGGATAGGTAAGCCTGTCCTGCGCTCGTCCTCTGACCCTCCTGTTAACTCTCGCTGTCTCGAGCCAGAAGAGCCCACGAACAGCCCATCACCTCCTCTGAAAAGGCAGGTAGGGCTCCTTCCAGTGGATGGGGTATTGGTGAAGCCAGAGGGGACCTGGATGCAGAGGAGGGGGGCTCCGTGGGCCCCCTGCATACCCTAAGTAGGGCTGATCATAGGTTCTCTGGGAAGGCAGACACAACTTGAGGTCCCCACCCTTATAAGTAAGCATAACCAAATATGCAGCATCCTGAAATACATGCCATTGACCCTTCAGCCAATCAGGGGTATGGAATGACCAACTGCTATAGGCTTGGTACTCTGTTTGCTTGGGGAAAAACAGACCACACCACGTGGTCTGCGGTCTCCTTTGATGCCCCTGGAACACATAGCTTTTGTTGCAGAGCACTTAAAGAGGCTGGTTTCTAAACTAATGAAAAGTGGCAGCGATGGTGGGATGCGTTCAGGTGGCTGACTGGCCACATGCATTGAAGGATGGGATGTGGTGCTGCCCTCCCCGGGTGCCTGAGTAGACGAGGAGCTGCTCGGTGTGCAGGGAGGCGGCTGGCAGCCAGGGACTGTGGCTCTCTCCAGCCAGCATCTCTGGGTTTAGAATCTGAACAGCATCATTTTTATTGATCGCAGCATTCAAAGATGTCTGGTCAGCATAAGAAATTCTCTATTGCTTCCAGGCAGTGGGAGTTGAATGAGGCCAGTGTGGATATGAAGCAGAGTTTTTGTCGGAGTATATAGGAATTAAAGAGCCATTTTTTTTTCAATTAAAAAGAGGGCGTTTAAAAAACATACCAATATCTGGTGCCCATCCCAAGACCAACTGAATTAGAACCCCTGGAAGTCAGGCCCAGTCTGTGTTGTTCACGGAAAGCACTCTGGGGGGCTTCGGTGTGCACCCAGGATGGAGAACCAGGGCCACCCAGGCCTCGTCTGGTGGGTGTGGAGGGAGGCCCGGGGCTAATGGTCATGAGAAGTCAGATTTACGTAATGTTATTAACCAACGTTACCCTGATACATTTAATTTTTAAAGACTATTCTTCCCCATTTAGTTTATGTATTTTATTTTTCAAAGAGAGGGGAAGGAAGGGAGAAAGAGACACATCAACGTGCAAGGGAAACATTGATGGCTTGCCTCTCACATGCCCCCGACCAGGGACCATGTCTACAACCCAGGCATGCGCCCTGACTGGGAATCGAACTGTCAACCCTTTGGTTTGCGGGCTGGCACCCAACCAACTGAGCCACACTAGCCAGGGCTAGGCAGTTTAATTTAAAAAGAAAATATGTTTAAAATTAAAAACAAATAAATAAAAGGAGATGCCAGGTGATTCTGGTGCAGGTGACAGAACATCAGCACCTAAGGTTTATTTGGATGCTCACTCCAGGCAGCACCTGGCACATCCTTGGTCCCTGGTCCTCCTGGGGGTTCCTCACGTTCTGTGGGGGGTGGGGGCTATGAAAGGGCCGTAGTAGGAAAGGAAGCTTGATTTTCCTTCTCCCCAGTTCCCCACGGTGGTTATGACGGGGCATGTGCTCCGAGAGATAAACCAAGTGTCTGCTGGTGGAGGGTGCCCGAGCCGGCCCTGGAGAGCCAGAGCCAAGTCTGACCTGCAGCTGGGGGGGCCAGAAAACCGCGCTGCCCCTCCTCCTTCCCGCCAGGGGGCACTGGCCCTCTCCGGGGTGCTGCGGAGGCTGCAGCTAGTGGAGGAAAAGATTCTCCAGGTGAAAGCCTCGCCCTCTGCCCTGCCTCTGCCTGTGTCTGGGGAGCCTCCTATTCCCCTTCTTCCTCTGCCTGCCTGGGCTGGGTTCCCCCTCTTCCCATTTGTGCATGCCCTGTCGCCTGCCCCATCCCCTGCTCTGTCCCCTGCCTGCTGTGTGGACGGTGAGACACGCCTGCCCCACCGCATCCCACCGTCCCACTCTCTGTCACTGCCTCTTTTTTCTCTCTCCTTTCTTGCCTTGACTGCAGAAGAGGGCTCAGAACTTGGCCAACAGGGAATTCCACAAAAAGAACATTAAGGAGAAGGCGGCTCACCTTGCCTCCATGTTTGGTCATGGAGATTTCCCACAGGTAAACGGGGCTTTCAGAGCCCCCCAGGGACCTGGGCATTGGACAGCCAGTGAAGTGACCTCAACTCTGTCTCTGGAGCTCCTCCTGCTTTAATAGCATGAGGCACAATTCATTTTTCAAACTGCTAAAGACTTCAAGGTGCTATCTAAAAATATGCAAATGAGGACATTCATAAGTAGATAAATCAGGACAAAGGGAAAAACCAAGGCTCAGAACAGTAAGGTCAGATCAAAGGAAGACGTTACCGAACAGAAACGCAGGCTGTTAGATCCCAGACAGCTTCTGGGTGGGAGCTTTCTTGGGGCCAACACAAAGAGGGAGAGCTGGTCAGTTTCAAGAATTACATCACGGTGCCTTTAAGGTGACAGCAAGCCATTTGGGGGCATGATGGAGAAATCTCCTCATGGCCTTGATCGGGGAGACACTGTTGAAAAAGTCGACCAGAGACCATAACCTTGGCTCTGTATGGAGCCGAGAAGAATGGCTTTGCCTCGGAGTACAAAGTGCAGATGCTCATTTAGAAACTTGCTAAAGAAGAGCGTGTGCTGGCAAGGAGATGAAGGAATTGACGTGAGGTCCTGGAGTACATGTATGTGGAAGGCGCTCACTCTCTTGCATCAGATTTGGTCTTTAAAACCCAACCTCCCCTGATGCTTTCGCTCAGTCTCCTCCAGACCTGCAGCCTCTGCTACTCAGCAGAGTCACTGATGTGGGAAGGGGGCTCGGTTCATTTTTAGCTGCTGGGAGGCTGGCACAGTTGTCTGCAGCCACAGAGGCCCCTGCTAGGGTCACCCACTCCCAAGTAGCCCAGGATCCTCCTTTCCTAAGTCTGCACCTGCCACTTTGCACCAAGCTCTAGAGGGAGGGCTTTAGGACTCAGCACTGGCGCCTGTGGCAGACATCGGGCAGCAATAAGATAGACTTGCTCCAGCTGTTAGAGTGGGAGGAGGGAGCTGGAATAGTTGTAGCAGAAAATGTAACCAGGAGCCAGACAGTCCTGCTGAGCTCCAAAGACACAGGCTCCTGCTCGATCCCGAGAGGCGGGCCTGGATGTCTTTGCCCCTCCTGGAGTGCGTGGGCACGAGGGTGCTGAGGCGAGCGTGGCTGTGCCTTTCCTGGGGTAACCACAGTTTCCTCTTTTCTGTTCTGTGCAGAATAAGTTACTCTCTAAAGACCTGTCTCAATCTCACCCTCCGTCTCCTCCCTCCTGCCTTCCATCTCCCGGTCCAGCTGCCACTTCCTCTCCATCGACTGTTGACTCTGTTTCTCCTGCCAGAAAGGTAGTCGTCCTGAACAATTTGCTGCCCCACTTCCTGCATGTTCTGAGATGCCCCCCCTGCCCTGCTCGGCCAGCACAGACCAATGTCGGGAGCTCCGGCTTGGCTGAGATGAAATTTGTCAGATACTTCACAACAGGAGTTGGTTTTGTGTTTGTGTTGGGCCCAGCAACATAGCGGAACAGGCAGCACAGAAAAACCTGTCCAATGTCGCTCATTCACCCAGCAGTCATTAGTTGGGTACCCGCCGTGTGCCAACCACAGTGCCAGACGCCAAGGAACTAAAAAGGAGGTGGTACGGTTTTCTCAGTACAGTTTAGGTGGCAAACAGCACATTAGAATAGAAATACGTAACTTTTTACCATATGAGATTGCCAATGTTTGGCTGCTTTTGACCTAACATTAGGGCAGTTTTACATGGTGAACCTAATACAATCCTATCCATTAATTCTATGACAGATGTAAAAGGCAAGATTGTAGGAACCCAGAAGGGGAAGCCAGGAAGGAATCACAGAGCAGGGAAAAGGGGGCTGAGAGTTGAGGGCTGTACAGCAGGATGTGCTGGAGGAAGTGGAGGGTGAGGGCACGTTAGAAAGGGTCCGGCATGTGCGAAGGAAGGCAGACGGGACTTGCAGGAATGGAAGGTCAGACTTCTGGTGTGACTTGAACTTGGGGGTGAAAGTACTCATGGGGGTGCAGAGAGCATGAGGATGAACATGAGTCCACTCTTTTTGTGCTAAGGAATTTCATTCTGGCCTCTTACGAAGAGCCCCCGAAGGCTCTTCTCCGTGTTCCAGCAGCGGGACTCAGGCAGCAGTGCAGAGCTCGGCTTGGAGGGAGGAGGCCGGGCACCAACTCCACTTAACCTGATGATGAAATGCAGCATGAGCAATCAATGGGTTTGGGTTCTGGGGCACCTTTTATGTTTTCCCTTGTCTTCCTTTTACCTGCTATGCTGAGAACACTACCAGGCTGGGCGGGGAGAGGGGCAGCCCCTGAGAAAATTGGCCCCTGGAACGCGTGAGCCTAAAAATGGACGGGAAGCCCACTTCCGCTGCTGCACGTGGGAGTGGGTTCGGAGTCTCCTCCCCGCAGGCTCTGCTGCTCTGAGCACATCCAGTCTGTCCAGCTGCCACCTGGGCTCCGCTTGGTGGGCAGTGCTGAGGGCCCCTTATCACGGTTACTGCTCATTTGCTTCCATGCTGTTAGGCAGATGCACAAACCAGCTCCCTGCTGTTACATTAGTAGGGAATTAGGAGTCGCCTCCTTTTGTGTAGTGGGGGTGCCACGCCCTTTGATGCCCATTGCTGTGGAAAGGATGGCGAGGGTAGGGTCTCCAAGAAAGGAGCAAGGAATCTTATCAGCCCCACCTCCTGCAAGGTCCCCAACACATCTCTGGACTGGCAGCAGGAAGTGACATGGAGAAACCAAACACTTTCTGCTTTCGAGTTCACCGAAAACAGCCAAGGCTGAGAGGCCCACGTCTTGTCCCAGGTCAGCCCTTGGTCGGTGTCTGATCTTAAGTGCCCCGACCTGCTGGGCCAACGTTTCTCATCAATAAGAGAGTGATTCCTGGCTTGCATGACAGCGAGCTGTGTGGGTGGAGACTGGCGTTTTTGTCAGCATTCTCACTAAAAGGCTTCCGAGTAGCCTTTTTGCCCTTCCCTGGGGAGTACTTCCTGCTGTGGAAAAGGTCATTGTCACCCTTGACAGGATGACACAGGTGAGGGCACCTGGGCCCAGACAGGCAGTTCGTGCTCCTTCCTGCCTGGGCAGTGGGCCCTCCCCTTGGCCGTCTCTGACCGGGCCTCCCTCTGGCTGGACCTGGTCAAGGCTCCTTCTTGCCCCTGCTTTTCTTTTGACCTCAGGACAGCCTGGCTTGGTTGCCGCCTTATCAGCATTGGGGGTAAAGTCATTATGCTCCCCAGCCTTCCCTGGTGAGGTTGCCAGCGGGTGTTAGTCCCTGGTATTAGTTCTCCAGGCGATGGACCAAGGCAGCCTCATCTGGGAACATGTGTGGCCTTTAGAGTCTGACAGCCACATCTGACCCCAGGCACTTTGGTCACTGGGCATGTCTCCTGTCACATCAGCACCACACGTCATCCCAGGGGGTCCTGGCTGCTGCTTCTCCAATGGGCTCTTCAATCAACTTTACCCAGTACCAGTCACTCATTAGGCCAATGGTAGACAGTCATTCATTTGACAATATTTGTTGAGTGACAGCTTGGTGTCAGGCGTGTCAGGTCCTGGGGTGTGCCTCAGTGAACAGGAGTCACATTCCTGCCCCGATGAGGCTCGCCGCCTGGCAGGGGAAGTAAACAGCCAACAATCATATAATATAGAAGTAAGTTACATAACATGCCAGAAGCTAAGATGACCTTCCCATGGGAAAACTAGCGGATAGCAGGGACTCGGCATCTAAGGGAAAAGGAGCCGTTTACTGGGGCAGTGGGAGGTTCTTCCTGGGAGAGTGTGACCTGAGCAGGAGCAGAGCCGCAGAAGAGAAAGCAAGGTGCCAGGACGAGACCAGTGCCCGGGGCTCCGGGCTCCAGCCCGGCCTTCTCTTCTCTCTCCCACAGAGGCCTGTGTGAATGGAGGCTCCTCAGAAGGAGCAGCCCAGAGGCTGCGTCCGTGTGGAGCTCCACACCCAGGCGCAGGGATGGCTGCCAGTGGGGCGGCCTTTGGGATGCCCAGCCCCAGTCCCCAGCCACCACCTCTACAGCTCTGTTCCTTATTTCTCCCCAGTTGTACTAGAACAATGGTGCCCTGTTTTTTCTTACCCCATCTCCTTAGCCAACCTTGGCCATCAAGTGATGGTGTAATTGGGGTATTTTGATAGCTTCCACCCTTATGTGCCTTTCACAGTGTGCCTGGGAATGATTGGGGAGCTCTTAGAAAGGGCCACCACGAGACCCTGGGCCAGCCACTTGCCCTCTCTGTGTTTTAGTTTCTCCATTTGTGAAAAGGACCCAGGTTGGACCTGACACCCAGACCCCTCCAGATCCACTGTGAAGCCTTCGTAGGCAGTTAGGGCTGGAGTGGTGAGGTTCTTGGAAAAGATATCACCAGCTGCACCGCCACCCCCACTCCACAACTTCCCTCCCTCCCCAACCACACCCGACCCTTGATTCAGCTATGCACAAGCAGAATCTCCTCTAAGTGATGGTCTCCTCTGAGAAGAGAATTGCCTGTCCCTTAAAGCAGGTGACAACCTGGGGACAAACAACCTCATTCTGTGTGGGTGCGGCTCAAGGAGCCTCCCTCCCAGAGAGAGCCTGGGGCCTTCATGTTCCTTTCCAACAGACTGGAAAGAAACTGCCCTCGTTGCCCAGCAACTCAAGTTTGCCTCAGGTCAGGGGAGCCCGAGGAAGGAAGGTGCCCTCGGGAACTGGTGCTCGGTCCTTAGCAGCCTCCGGGCAGGCGGCATGTCCCTGTCCCTGCCCTAGAGCCCTACACTGCAACTCTGAGGGTCTGGGGAACAGACCTTGCCAAACGGGCCACGAAGAGCCTCTGTTACTCACAGGGACAAAACCTTGGGTCACCGACTCTGCCTCCAGGCCGCACGAGCCCACCCTCTCAGATCCATGTTCCGCCTTCGATTTCAGAGTGATCCTGCTGGGCGTTCCTTGGTTCATTTGTTGGTTTTTGGACTGAACAGTTACAGAGAACCTTGAGGTCTGCTCCTTTAGGGCCCAGATTCTTACCCCAGAGTCTTGTCTTTCAAGACCTTAGACTGTGGAGCCACGCCCTCTCTTACATCCTCCGCACCATTTGACTCCACCAGCCCCTCCAACCAGCCCACCTGTAGTGGTGTCAGCCCCTATCATTCATTAGTTAACTTCCTTATTTGAGAAGAGAGGCCACTGCTCATTTGACTTCTGCCCTGGCTGCTCGCCATTTGCCAAGGCCAGGTGCACAGCTGAGCAAGAGGGACGGCCTCACTGGCCTGGGGACTGGGTTAGTCCTCCCGGTTGAAAAAGCAAGGTGCATTGCAAAGGGAGCTTCCTCTACCCTTGCAGGTAGTTTTAAAACTGGATCTGCCGGGTTTACTCTAGAGATTTGCATATCAGAGAGAAGTTGGGCAATCTGAAGGGGCAATCCGCCTTTGTCCCAAGGATACAAGACAGTTCTCAAGGCTGCCTCCAACCTCATCGTCCTCCCTATCCCAGGGACAGAGCGCGGTGGCTCTGTGGACGTGCTGTCTGTGCAGTCCAGCCTGGGGATTGTCATGTGCAGAGTGCTGGTGTGTCTCGGGGGGAAGGGGGGCAGGGTGCTGCAGGGAGAAGGATGTGGGCTCGGAGTCACACTTGCAGTCAATGCACCAACTGCTGTGTGACCTTGGACAAGTCAGTGGCCCTCTCAGGCCCTTAGTGTTGTAGCCTGTAGAGTGGAGGGTGATTGGAATAATGCAATGCATAGCCTGTGTCAAAAATGCCTGAAGTATCTGATGAATATGCTCTTTCCCCAGTAGAGACTTCTAGAAAAAAATTTATTTACCTAAAATGCAGGCTGATTCCTCTCTTTCTAAAGGCAAAGAAGTCACCTTTAGGTTTTCATTTCCATCCCAGCCACCGAGAAGTAGTGAGGCATCCAGTGAGTTTGGTGACTCCCTGGACCTCAGTTGCTCTCAGCTGCAGGGGGGAGGGGGGGGACATATTATAAGACCCACCTTGCAGGCCATGAGTGTTAAATGCATATGATGATCAGCCTGGCATGAGGGGACGAAGGCGCAGATATGGGCTCCCCTTGGTTGGAGGGAGGGCAGGTGACAGACCCAAAGGCCTGCCTGTGTCCCAGCTCTGACTATGTAGTATCCAGACCCCTTCAAGGAAGGCAGTCTCAATCCTTGGCCTCCCTTTTCCTACCCTGGGCATATGGCTGAGGACGCAGGTCCACCAGCCTGCTGTCCGATGTTTCTCAGGCAGGGACTCTTCAGTGAGGAATGTCCTCTGGCCCTGCCTGTGGAAACCTCCCCATCTCATGAGCCCCCAGGGCTGAGGCACCGGAAGCTTCACTCTCCCCCCTGCCTGACCCGTGTGGTCTTTATGATGCTCAAAGCAGGCCAGGTGGCCACAGGTGGCCCAGCTCTGCAGGGAAGCAAAGCTTGGACACCTGGTATTTGTGGCAGAGTTCCAGGCCCAGGGTGGGTCAGTACCATTATTTGCACACGAAAGGTCTCAGGTGCCTGCTTCCTCCTTCATTCAGAGCATCTGCCTTGAGCCAGGGGTATAGAGGTAAATGAGACAGAGTCATGACATCGGGGAATGCCAGCCACAGGGGAGAGAGGCTGGCTCAGAGCAAGGTCAAAAAGGCTCCAGGAGCCAGGCAGCGACATCACATCCCAAGCTGGGGTGATAAGATCGCCTCAGGAATGCCTCTTTGCAGAGGTCCAGGCATCTTGGGCAGCCCATGGTGGAACTTCTTACCTCACAACAGGTACATCACCATGTTAGCATCTGGGCTGAGCAAAGCCAGGATGCTCATCCCAGGTAGCCCCTTGTTCTTACTCGTGCAGAGGAGGAAACCCAAGCAACCAGGGGTTCTCCCAGTGATGGCCGCCTAGCGAGGAGAGAAGGCCCAGAATATGGACATGTGAAGCTGCTTTGGACTCATTAACTACCTTCCAGGGGCTCGCAGGAGCCCAGGGCCGTGCGAGGCACAGCCCAGGATCTTTGATGACCCCCGATTGCAGCCCTGCTGGGATGGTGGTGGCCTCCCCATTGTACAGAGTCAAGAGCAAGGCTCACAGAGAGAAGTGGTGTGTGTGAGGTGAATCGAATGTCATGTGAGACGATGGAGTCCCCAGATTCTTTAACCATTCCAGCCTGCTCGAATTTGCTGAAAAATAATTAGACTTTACAATGGGAAAAGGGGGTGAAAAGTAGCCCAATTCTGTAGTTTTACAAGAATACTGAAAGACACATAAACAGTTATGAAAAACTGTCCCATGCCCTCCAAAATCAACAACTCTTAAAAGACCAGAGATGGGGGCGTGATCGTCGTTGGTCACACCCTCAGTTACCCACCTTCACATCTGACAAACTATTCCCACCCCGATGGCCCATTGGTGACGGTCCCTTTCAGTGCACGAAGCTCCACGTGGAAAACCTCCAGATCTTACTCTGAGGTCCATACCAGGCTGAGTTTTCTGGAAGTTTCCCCACGAGTTGAGCATCCGTTTCTTTCTCCGGGTCCAGAGAGCCTGGTAATTCCTTGGTCAGGTAGAGCAGCCCAACTTCTTAACGCGTGGCCCCCGGGGAGGTGCAAGTCCGTGACTCAGGGAGCACAGCCAGTGAGAGGACACATTAGACTCGGGCAAAGCAATGTGGCATCGCCACACACCCACGTGCGTGATCGCGTTTCTGCTAATTCATTTTTATCGTGTTCCAAAGTATCTGGCCACCAGGGATGAGGGATTCAAAAGAAAACGTTCACCACTGAGAGTCTGAGGAGCACCGAGCCAGCACAGGGCTGGCCGGGCTCACCTGTACTCTCGGGGAGCCAATAAGGCGTCCTGCTGTCAGAAAACAGAAGATAACCTGTGATCCCCACTTTAACAGTCACCTTCACATTGGTCTTTGGGGTGTGCTTCATGGGCCCCCTTTCACCCTTTAGTCTCTGTCACCTGGTCTCCTTGCGACCTCTCCAGCAAGTCCCCGTCCACCTCTGGAGGATGACCAGTGGTGATTCTGGGATGGTTTCCATCAGGCTGGGAAGGGCGGGTCGGCGACCCACTGCTGCCTCCCTTAAGGAGGCTCTCATTCCATCATTCTTCAGAAGGCCATTGTCACAGAGTAGGGAGTGGGTGCAACTGGGAGAATGAGCCTTTGGGGCTCATAATGAGTGACCAGGTGCGGTCTTCACCCTGCATCCCCTGTCCAGGTGACTGGACGGTGCCCTTTGCTCGTGCAGCAACTGAGCAGGCTCACAATGGCACAGAAATGCCTCAGCAGCACCCCCAGCAGCCTCCCAGGCCTTTGCATGATTCCTTAATTGCTCCCTAAGTCGTGATTGCGCAGAAGCGCAGTGATGCGAAATGCTTATTAGCTAAGTGGTTAATAAGGTCTCATTAGCGACTCGTATGCAAAGCCCCAGGAAGCACAGTCTCCATCTCTGCTAACTCAGGGGTGGGGGGTATAGTTGCACGTGGTTATCATGGCAGCAGCAGCACCGCCGTGCCTTTCCAGAGAAGCCAGGGGAGGTGGCCGCAGGGAGGTAAATCTGACTTCCTCTCTTCATTTTGATGTAAACCCAGGAGGTGTGGTTAGTATTCTCCAGCCCCTATCTGCCAGGCCTGTCCTGGGGGCCTTACTTAGCAGGGGATGGAACACCAGGCAAACAGTGGCAGGTTGTCCTCAGCCAGTGCACCTGAACCTTTCTGGAAAGCGGGAGCCAAGTTTTTTGGCATTTGTGAAACCCTGAAAGTTGCAGAAAGCGTGCTTGAAAGCAGAATCCTAATCTCTCCTAGGCCTGGCCAGCTGGAGCAGGGGAGGGGAACCTGGGGCTGGGAGCGGAGTAACAGCCTGGCAGCTAGAGGTCCCATCTGTCTGAGTCGTGGGGTGGGGTGCCCATCGCCTCTTTCTCTACAAGCCCCAGAACCACAAACATGGGCTGGAGTGGTGGGTCCAAGGTTGCTGTTAGGTTGAGGTTACCTTAGTGAGAAGGGGGCAAGTGTCATTCTTCCAGCCTGTGTGGCGGCCCCTCCCATTCATTCCCTAGTAGTGCCTGTGCTTTTGCTGGAATCCAACTCAGTTCAAGGGCGGGTGTCGCTACAGGGGGTGGGGAGCTGTAAGAGCAGCTCTTCCCTGAACTTCCTGCTGTGTGTTAGAGGTTTACTGCTCTGGGATTAGATATAGCCTCTCAAAAGCAGTCTTGGGTTTAGACTGAGGGTGTTCTACCTCCACACAAGTGCCTGTTACTTGTTCTCCCAATGGCTGTCAGTCTGTGCCCAAGGGCCATCAACCTAAGTCACAGCTGTCTCTGGCCACATCTCCCAGGAGCTGGATTCAGAGGCTGGGGGAGGGCCTGGAGCCTCCCTCCCTCCAGGGTCATGGGGTCAGGAACAGCGTTTACAGAATCTCATGCTGTGCATGTTGGGTGCCCTGCACAGGAGGCTGTGGCATTCCTGGGGTGGCCTTGCAGAGCTGGTGGGGGAAGGGGGATCAGGCTGCATTTTCTGGGGGGCAGTGTGTGTATGATTGTACCCCGTTTGCTTGGGCTGTCAGCTCCCACCCTTCCCCGGCTCCCTGACACATTGGGGTGTCATCACCATCATCAGGCGGGGGTCCTAGGGCCCAAGTGGAATGGCCGCCTCCTCGACTCTGGGCTGGCCTTGCCCAGCAGTAGCCCCGGGCCCTCTGGGCACTGCTGCTGGAGCCTGCGGTGAGGCTCCTCCTCCCGATCCCTCCACCTGTCCAGTGTGGGGCGGCCTCACTCCCATTTCAAGTTGTCCCAGCCACTGAGGAGAATGACAGTGGGGAGGCATCTGTGCAGCAGGGGTGGGGTCAGGAGACCTGAGTATGGTCCCGAATCTTGCATTTGTTTGCTAAGTGGCCTTGGATAGATCCTTCCTCTCTCTGGATTAGTTCACCCCATCTGCGCACTGAGAAGCTCAATGACTACTGAAGGCCCCGCACCCCCAGGGTATGTAGTTCTGCAGAGTCACCTGGCTCACTGAGGGTCACAGGATTCTGTTTCCGGCCTTTGCTGCATCTCCGGAGTGCCTGCTGCCCGCTCCTGGCTGGGTCTGCCTGTCAGGCGCTCCTTGCATGTGGGTGTGGAGCCCTCTCCCACATCCAACCTGTTTGTGTTTTCCTTCTCGGTGCTCACTGGCCTTACTGTTCTCTCTGTCTCCTCTACCTCTGCTCTTGGGTAGCTGACGGTAGGGAAAGTGTCCAGCGGAATAGGGGCTGCAGCTGAAGTCCTGGTCAATCTGTACATGAATGATCACAGACCTAAGGCCCAGGCTACCTCTCCAGACCTGGTAAGAATGCACATCCCTCAGCTTTCTCCCACAGGCTCCGGCCCTGGACTCCCAGTGAGGGCGCCTAGGATGCAGAGGGGACACCTGGCCCTCTCTCAAGGTGCCCCTTCCTGTGGACAAGAGGGGCTGACAATGGGCTGGATCAGAGCAGAGTGCGGGCCAGGGTGGGAGCGGGTACATTTCCTTAAAGACAAACCTCACTTGGCAACCTTGGGGTTGTTTCACAAGGCAGAGCCTCTTCTAGCCTGCCTGGGGCTCTGGGGATCTCAGTGAAAACCCAGGCGAGGCTGTCCACACAGTCGGCCATGCCTTACTGTCAATGTTTCGTGTCCTAACTAAGCAGCCCATTGTACCAGGTTGACCATTCAGTAATGGAGGAACATCCCTTTTCTCTGGGTCTCCCCTTCTCCAATCAAGGGCACTCTCTGCCGTCACCAGGGATTTGAGTTGGCAGTTCCTTTGGTTTCCTTTTGGCACATTCCCCTAGAATCACCCTGGCCTCCTGCTCCCTCTCCCCCAACCCCGTGCATTTGGGGGTTCGCCTGGCAGCCTGGTGGGCTATGGTGCACGGCCTCTCCCTTCCTGCAGTTCTCTTAAACAGTTTGGATGCCACAGACTTTCCTTGTCTTCCTTGCCTGACTTAAGTCACTGCAGGGGGACAAGGATGTAGAAAACATGCCTTCAGTGAGCTCACTCCACATCCAGACAACACTTAACCCCTGGGACAGGTTCCTAGAGAGGGTGTCACTGGGCAGGCGTGTTTGTAAAAGATGCCCACTCCATTAAACCAGGGGACATCACTACCATCAAAACCAGAGCAGCCAGGTGAGGGGACAGCCCGCCCATCCTGGGCCCACCCTGCGGCTAGCCTGCCTGGGCATAAAATTAACAGCCGCCCCTGCAGTTTTGGGGCCTGTGCTGGGGGCGTATCTCCCCACACTCACTCTTGGCTGCAGCACCTGCAGTGCTGTGAGCAGGAAACAGGAGCCCATGGCATCCCCATGATTCAGGCCAGAACTTCTGAAAGCCCAGCCCTGCATTGGAAGACTCTGTGTAAGCCCCAACCCACTGCTCTTCTCTCCTGCTGCCCTGTCCCCTGCAGGAAACGATGCGAAAGGCATTTCCCCTGAACCTGGGTGGCAGCGACACCTGCTACTTCTGTAAGAAGCGCGTGTACGTGATGGAGCGGCTCAGCGCAGAGGGCCACTTCTTCCACCGGGAGTGTTTCCGCTGCAGCGTCTGTGCCACCACCTTGCGCCTGGCTGCCTACGCCTTTGATGTTGACGAAGGTAGCCACCGTCCCCCAGGGACAGTGCTGGTGTCTGGCCTGGGCTCCTGGTCCTCTAGAGGCTCTGGGACCCCCGACAGTTCCCAGGGAGCACAGTGTCATCTGGAAACAGTTCAGGGAGCCTGGAGCTCCTCTGGATAGAGAGGGGGCCACCTGTGGTGGGCAGGGGCCCCCGAGGGAGGAGGAAGCTGCCCGCACCTGGTGAGCTCTGGCACTGAAGGGCGCCCGCTGTGTGCTGTGTGCTCTGTGCTCTGTGCATGTTTTCTCGTTCAGTCTCACCATCTTCCACGCCCCCTGTGTGGTCAAGAGACGTGGGCTCTGCACCATGCTGCTCTTGCAATAAGGGCTCAGTAAATGACAGCATAGGAACGTTGTAATGACATCTGCTCTGATATGTGGCTGATCAGAGGGTGTGGATAAAGGAATTGCACTACAACGTGTGGTTGTTTTCCAGTTTTCAGCCCTTGATGTTTGCGCTGTCAGGTATAATGAGAGACAGTATAGTGCAGCGCTCCTAGGTTAAGACCCTCACACTAAAGTGCCGGGTTCAAATCTAGCCTGTAGCACTTACTGGCTGTGCAACCTTGGGTGTGTTCCTTAACCTCCTGGTTGCTCAGTTTCCTCATCTGTAAAATCAAGATAATAATAGTACTTAGTGCATAAGGTTGTTAATTCATGGGAAGCATTTAGAATAGTGCCTGATATATTGTGAGTCCTATGTGATGTGTTTTTCCTATTATCATTATTCCCATCACTATTGTTACTGATGTAATGGTGAGCAAAGAAGGCTTTTCTAGAAAGTGCCCAAGGTCCTGGGCAGTAGCCAGTGGCTCAGTGTGTGTCTCACCTGGGCTTTTCCTACCTATCATTGCTGCCCTCAGTTACAGCCCTTCCCACCCCCAGGGCCTCAGAAAGGACAAGGAGCTAGAAATGCTGTTGCTGTCCATTTTGCTGCTTGACAACTGGTCATGGGAAGAGACCTGGCCTTTGAATTATCTGAGGGTTTTGGCCCCATGCCTGGGAGCCCCCCATTTCTACACCCTGACTTGAGGCAGCAAAGGGTCCTGTGCCTCATCTCATGGCCACTTCAAGGCAGGTGACAGAAATGCCTTCCCAGGGGTGACTGTCCTGGGTTTGTTTCTATTACTGGTGTTTTCTGACCTAGTCAGTGGTGGGCACTTGGCTCAGGTCTACTGTGGCTCTGGCTTACAGGAGAAAACATTTGTGTGTGTGTGTGTGTGTGTGTGTGTGTGTGTGTGTGTTTCTTTTTACAGGCAAGTTCTTCTGCAAGGCTCATTTCATTCACTGTAAAACCAATAGCCAGCAACGAAAGAGGCGGGCAGAGTTGAAGCAACAAAGAGAGGTACGTTTTGCCTTGAAAGAACTGCTGGAACAGGGAAGGCCCCTAGACGGGAGAAGGTTTCCAAGGGCTCCTCCACATTAGGCCAACATTTCTGACCCCAGAAGGACCGACACCCACAGATGGAGAAGAGAGCTCTACTCCCTGGTGTCAAGGGTCCCTTTGCCTCCGTCTGTTCAGCCAGCCCCTTGGGTACATCCCACCAGATGCCAGTTCCCAGGTGAGTGGCCATGCTGGCCTCTCATGAGGAGCCCAGAAGAGCTTTCTCATATGCCAGGAATGCAAAAGTTACTGATTACCTTCCCATGGTCCTCTGAGTCCTGTCTTCTCCCCACTGCTCCTCACCATGAGACCATTGGGCGCTGTTTGTAGGGATGCCTGGTATGGGGCTGTCCTTTGCTGAGATTTCCAAGTCCTTTCCCCTGGTCCTTAGATGTCATCAAGGGGATGAGCCATCAGGGCCTGTGGACAGTTAGTTACAGTGCCCCCTCTGGCAGCTCTTAGTAAATACCTTCTATGGCTTGACTAATCACAACAACCAGCAAAGATCCACAATGTACAACTTTTTTTTTATTACACATTAATATAGGCTCAATGTAGACAAGTGCATAAAAAAATTAAGATATATAATGAGGGAAAGTTAAATCACTCATCATCACTCTATCCTGAGAAAACCATAATTTTGTAACAAACATTTCCTTCTAGACTTCTTCCTATATGAATATACTTTATCTTAGTCAGAATTCTATTACTATAGATGGTGAGGACTTCTGGCCAAGATGGTGGTATAGGTAGATACACTTTGCATCCTTGCACAACCAAAAAAAGAACACCAAATTTAAAGACAAAAAATAACCAGAACTGCCAGAAAATCAAACTATATGGAAGTCTGAAAACCAAGGAGTTAAAGAAACATTGATCCAGACTAGAAGGAGGGGTGGAGATGGGCAGCCGGGGCAGAGAAGATGCTCGGCAAGGCAGTGGCTGGAGGACTGGGCGGTCCCACATTTGCACGTGGATAAACGGGAAGGAAGAACTGGAGAGCGAATCAGACTGCACAACACAGGGTTCCAGTGTGGAAAAATAAAGCCTCAAAACCTCTGACTGAAAAAACCTGTGGGGGTTGAGGTGGCAGGAGGAACTCCTAGCCTCACAGGAGTTTGTTGGAGAGACCCACAGGGTTCTAGAATGTACACAAACCCACCCTCCTGGGGGTCAGCATCAGAAGGGCCCAATTTGCTTGTGGGTAGTAGAGGAAGTGACTGAAAACCAGCTGAGAGCCAAGAAAATGGTATTATTCCCTCTGGGACTCCTCCCCATATACAGCGCTATGACGTATTGACATGATTACCCTGCCCTGGTGAACACCTAAGGCTCTTCCTCTTACAGTGTAACAGGCATGCTGAGACAAAAAAACATGTTCCAAATGAAAGAACAGATCAAAACTCCAAAAATAAAACTAAGCAATGAAGAGATAGCTAACCTATCAGATGCAGAGTTTAAAACACTGGTAATCAGGATGCTCACAGAAATGGTTGAGTATGGTAGCAAAGTAGAGGAAAAAAGTGAAGGCTATGAAAAGTGGAATACAGGAAAATGTACAGGGAACCAACAGTGATGAGAAGAAAACTGGGACTCAAACCAACAGTTTGGACCAGAAGGAAGAAATAAATGTTCAACCAGAACAGAAGCAAGAAACAAGAATTCAAAAAAAAAAAAAAAATGAGAGGCTTAGGAACCTTCAGGAAGACTTTAAAGTTCCAACATCCAAATCATAGGGGTGCCAGAAGGAGAAGAGGAAGAGGAAGAAATTGAAAACTTATTTGAAAAAACAATGAAAGAGAACTCCCCTAATCTGGCAAAGGAGATATACTTCCAGGAAGTCCAGGAAGCTCAGAGTCCCAAAGAGGTTGGATTCAAGGAAGCACACACCAAGGCACATCATAATTACCTTACCCAAGGTTAAAGATAAGGAGACAATCCTAAAAGCAGCAAGGGGAAAGGAGACAGTTACCTACAAAGGAGTTCCCGTAAGCCTATCAGCTGATTTTTCAAAAGAAACCTTGCAGACCAAAAGGGACTGGAAAGAAGCATTCCAAGTCATGAAAGGCAAGCACCTACATCCAAGATTGCTCTATCCAGCAAAGCTGTCATTTAGAATAGAAGGGCAGATAAAGTGCTTGCTCAGATGAAGCCAAGTTAAAGGAGTTTATCATCATCAAGCCCTTATTTTATGAAATGTTAAAGGGACTTATCTAAGAAAAAGAAGATCAAAACTATGGACAGTAAAATGACAACAAACTCACAAGTATCAATAACTGAACCTAAAAAAACAAAAAGAAAAATGAACTAAGCAAACAACTAGAACAGAAACAGAATCACGGAAATGGAGATCACATGGAGGATTATCAGAGGGGAGAGGGGGAGAATGGGGGAAAAGGTACAGGGAATAACAAGCATAAATGGTAGGTAGAAAATAGACAGAGAGAAGTTAAGGATAGTATAGGAAATGGAAAAGCTAAAGAACTTATACATACGACCCGTGATGTGAACTAAGGTGGGAGAATGTCAGTGGGTGGGGAAGTACAGGGCGAAGCAGCATAAAAGGGAGAAAAAAATGGGACAACTGTAATAGCATAATCAATAAAATATATTTTAAAAAATCCTATCACTATTACTGTTCTCTTTTTTTTTTTTACTAGCATTATATCAAGGACAATTTTCTTACATGCATGACCCATGGACATGAACAATGGTGGGGGCATTCATTGCCTGAGGGGGTGAGGGTGCAGGGTGAAGGGGGTCAAAGGGGAAAAAATCAGGACAACCATAATAGCATAATCTGTAAAATATAATTTAAGAAAAGAAACAGCAGTTTCCCATGACATTAAAAATTCCTTCAAAGTGCTTTGGCTGGTGTGGCTCAGTTGGTTGGACGTCACTCTGCGAACTGAAAGGTCACGCATTTGACGCCAGTCAGGGCAGGTGTCTGGGTGGTGGGCTTTGGGTCCCAGCTGGTGCACGTGCAGAAGGCAGCCAATTGCTGTTTCTTTCTCACTCCAATTCTCCACCCCTTTCCACTCTCTCTAAAATAAAAATAAAAATTTTTTTTTAATTCCTTTGGAGCATAATCTTTGGTGCTTATAAAGAGTGGTCAATAATTTACTTATTAAGTCCCATATTGTCGAACATTTATATTGTTTAATATTTTTACCTCACAACTATGTTTACAGTGAAAATCTTTGTACGTGCATATGTATCCATATTTCGAATTACTCACTTAGGATGGATCACCGGAAATGCAGCTGGAATCAAGGGGTGTGTGTGTTGAAGGACAGCAAGTCCTTCCATCACTTTACCCCCAGGAAAGTCCCGCCCAAGTCCCGCCCCAGTCCCGCCCCGCTTCATCAAGGGCGCTGAGATTCTCTGTGGGGCTGGGTCTGCCAAGTTCTATTTTTAGTGGCTCTCTTCGTCTGCTTTATCAGAGGGGTCTGCTGAGCATCCTGGACTAACCGCACTTCCTTTGATCTTTCCCAGGAGAAGGAGATGTGGAAGGAGCAAGAAGCCCCTCGGCCAGACCCTCCCACGGAAAGCTCCTGTGCAGCCGCCGCGCTCGGCCCGCCGGCGGGCAGCCCCCCAGGTATCCCCACATCCTCCTTTAGGAAGGCGCTAGGCTGGCCTCTCAGGCTGTCCTGGGGCCTGCTTCACGTCCCCCGGGGCCTGCTTAACCGGATTCGGGGACTGCTGCGCTCCGTCGGCCTGCATTTCAGGGACAATGCGTACAACTACTGCTACACGTACGAGCTCCTGAGCCTCGGGCTGCCCCTCCTGTGGGTGCTCTCCGAGGTCCTGGCTTCCATGTACCGGGAGTCCGAGGAGTCCCTGGAGAGCATCCGCGACCGGGTGCTGCGGTACCTCCCGGTCAAGCTCCACTGAGGGGCGCCGCCCCCAGGGGCCTTCACATTTCCAGGGCAGATGGTCTCCTGTTGGTTGTGAGCTAAGGCGCTGGTCGGGAAGCCGGGCATCCTTGAACCAGTTAGCTCACCGCCGAAGAGTTGGCCACAGGCCCCGGCCTGGTCAGGGCGACCGTCTACTCACAGTGCTGGGACCAGCACGACATGAAGGATGTTTTTTTATAGATTTGCATTTCTTTTATACCAAAGTGAGCTGTATGTCTAGGTTTACATTTCAATTTTTAACTTTTGATAAGCCAAGAAAAAGAGCTTTTTTATCCTGTGTGTCAAATTTTTTAAACACGAGTTTGAAGTTTTTAACCGGTGTTACAAACCCCTTCCACGCCCCAGTCAGCCACGTCAGTGATCAGGGTTTTATATAAAGGAAGGGAGCGCGCCCTCTACCGACCAGTGCCTTCCGATTTGCATACCAAGAGGCCACTTGTCGAGAGGGGGCAATTTCTTTGCAGCGGTGGAAGTGTCATAACTGCAGAAGAACAGTAGAAGCGTGGCAGAGCAGAATAACAAAGCAGAATTAAAAATCACACAGGACATAGCAGTGTGTACTCAGCTGTCGCATGGCCTCCCAGAGGGAGGAAGCCTGTGTTGCTCTCTTGCTCTGATGTAAAATAGTAGCTTAATGTCCCCCCGGCTCAGCCCCATAGCAGATCGTAGCCCAATGACCTAGAACCATGGGGTTTCACACAGACGGCTACACACAGGCACTAGTGAGAAGGGCAGCAGAAGCCCGTGGCACCAGACCACGCAGGGCCCTTTCAAGCCTGCGCAGCGCCTGCTGAGGAGGAGCCGTGTCCCCTGCGGCTGCAGTCTGAGCCAAGGCCACTCAGGGTCCATAACTGTCAGGCTGAGGGAAGAATCTGCCCTCCCATTTCACGTCCTTTGGGACTGAGGGCATTTGTTCACAGCTCAGGGTAATGTTTCTGGGAAGCACGGCTGACCCAGTGAGCACAGCTTCAGACATGCTGGCTTCTGAGCCACGCAGCCGCTGTGCTTATTTGGTCAGAACTGTCAGAGACCACTTATTTTCACACTGTCCTAGCAAAAGAATGTGCCTGACCTCCAGGGGGAAGATCCCCTGTATCTTGATTGGCAGGGGAAACTGGGAGTGGAAGCTGTTTACTGACTGATGCAAAGAAATGTGCCCTGTTCGGGACAAAAACAAGCATTGGCCTACCTGCATTCTTCCCTCCGGGAGTCTGGAGGAGGCCAAAGCTCCCCCCACTCCCTGCCTGGACACCGCAGCTGCCGAGTCGGGCTGAACAATGGAGAGGCTGATAGAAAAAGGCCTTCTGCCCTGCTCAGCTCAACTGGAGACAGCTCCATGCACTTGTCACCCTAGCGACCTCCTCTAGATCTAGCAAGGGGGCAGCCTGGTGTGCATCTGGAACCAGAGCTCCTGAGAGCTTTGAGATGACAAGTTTCTATATGATGAGAAGAGGGGAAAGGCATTTTTAGAAACACTTCCCCAAAGTCCTTGGGCAGAACAGGGCACGGCTGTGGCCAAGTCTATGGGAACTGACACGTCCGTCCTTGTTGGAGCTGTTCTTAGTCCAACAACCTGCGTTGCATTTTCCCAAATTTTCAGCAGGTTGGAGGAGCCCTTGATTCATCTTATGTTTGATTCCAGAAAGTAAATTCTGCAGGTCATAATGTGAACACAAGCACAGCTGTGCCATTGTCATTGACATCAGCTCGGGGCAATCTGGGACGCTCTGTGGGACGCCCCGCGAAGCCCCAGTTAGCATCTCTGAGGATGTCATTTGTGGCCATACAGAGACTGGTTTGAATTGCTCTGGTGAGACAGGTTGTGCTCATCTGAAGCCTGAGATGTGTATACTGTTCTGAGACCTTGAACCTTCCTGGTGGGCAGCACCGAACACACAGTGGGTCCTGGGGGTGGAGGCCTCTAAGCCTCCACAATGGACTCACAAGTGAATATGAGACTCTAGAGTAAAATTGGGGCCAGCAAGGGGTCAGGGCTACTGGGGGCCTGGGGTCCGAAGGGCACGTGGAGCTCTGAGTAGAGAGCCGGGGGTTGTTGCAAATGCAAACCACACCCCCTCGCTCTTGGAGCTGAGGGGCTGCTCACTGCCAGAAAGGTTCATCTGTCCAAAGGAAGTGATGACTCGTTTGGGGAGGATTCCCCTTGTTTGATGGTTGCCTTATTGTCAACTCTTGTGTCTTCCCTTGTTGTCCGTCTTTTCCCTTTTCTCCTCCTAAACTAAGCTCTCTTTTCTGTCTCTCTCCTTCCAACCTTACACTGTGGCCGTCAGTCCATTTCAGCCTTCCAGTGCTACACCCACTTCTTGGCTGACACACTTCTGCTCTGAGGTGACTGGTTTTCTTGCCAATTTTCAGAGAATGGGACTAACCTGTAAGCTGCTTTCCGCACCCCGTCCTCCCCGCCGTGGCATCGGTTGTGCTAACCGCAGTGTCTTGTGTACTAACGGACTCATTCAGGGGCATGGGGGGTGAACAGCGTGGGGTGGTGTCCAGCTCAAAAGGTGTTTTTGATTCCACTTACCTCCGAGCTGGCAGCCCGGCCCACGCCAGGTGCACGCCCGCCTGCCCTCTGTTCCCCTGTGGCCTGCGCTTCTGCTTCTCCAGTTGCACTTACAAAGCCGCTTGCCTCCCCGGGAGGGTCACCTCTGAGCGTGAGACAGTACCGGGGGGTGGGCTCTGTCACCTTGGAAAAGAACTCCTTTGTCTTGGAGCCTCTGAAAAAGCACATGCATACAAGCATCTTCTTCAACTTGTTCTAACATGAAGATGATTAATGTCACTGATCAAAACCAGAAGTGTCTCTTTTTGGAGAGATTCAAAAAATACTCCCAGGTTTCATCATCAGCTTGATCCATACTCTGAATTTTGAACCCATCGTTACAATTTCCCTAGCAAATCCTTCCTCTGCTGCAGTCTATACTAGAGATCCAACGGTTTGGCCGTGGCCCCTCGTATGTCCCCTGGCTCCCAGAGTCTCAGATGAGGAGAAACTTCCGCGAGAGCAATCACGTCACAGTTCAGGGATGACTTTGAGAAAAGACTCAGCTCAGCCCCAGGCCCGCAGCGGCCAGTTGCAATGGCCCCCTGGCTCTGTGCAGAGCACACTTTCCCTGCTGACTCTTTACAGGGAGCAGCAGGACATTCAAAATGCTTTTAAAGAGCAACACCACGCCAAGTACCGTGGAGCTACTGTAGGCCAGGCCTCTCGGTCTCAGGCTGCAGGTGGTGCATGCGGCTGCACGGGGCCCAGAGCCACGCTGACCTCTAGGCCCATCTGCACTACCCTGCATGCTGCGTCGCCCCCTGCATCGGTGCAGACCCTAGCCAGCACAAAGTCATTGCTCTTGTCTTATCTTCTCTTGCAGAGTCTCCCTCCCTTTATAGAATGTCAACCAAAGAGTGTCCTCCTCCCCCCTCAGCCTCCTCCTTAGCTAGCCTGCCCCACCCATCGCAATGCATGTTTGGGACCTTTAGCAGTCATTTACAGTGCCACATGGAACCCTGTATTTCGCACACAGCAACCAATGTTTAGCTTTATTTATGGTATTTGATGCTGTAAATGAAAATAAATATGGTTCTTTCTAAAGCTCATTGTTTCCTCTCTTCTTTGCCATGGAAGCTGCTCCAACCTAAAACATGGGAGTTAGGTTAGGGGTCAGGCTTCCCTAAACTGCCTGCGGGACCTGCACTGGTGGTGACCGGGACTCTCTGGGACTGTGCTGGGCGCTATGAAAGTAAATATTACCCAGGGGTAATATTTGGAAAAAGACACCACTGCTCCTGGGCCAGGCTTTGGGGTCTGTTTCTCATGGCACTTTTCTGCTCTAGATGTGGGACACAGCGGGTGAGGGCCGGTGTCACCTCAGCTGTTGGGTACAGACTGTCTTTCTTTCCTTTTTTTTTTTTAAAGGAACAGACTGTCTTAATAGCTACTCACCCTAACCGCCCCCATACATCCAAGCATGGACCTGTCGGAGGGCGGTACTTAGGAACTGTATGCTTATTTAGGTTCCTGTGTAGCAAAGTTTGCTCCAGAAAGGGGTTCGCTGGCCCAGCTGAGTGGTAGGTAAAAGGTCAGGAGGCAGGATCACACACCGGTTTCAGGATGGCAGTGAACATGGCAGGCGTGCTCATCTAGATGAAGAGCCAGTTGTGATCCTGAGAGACCTGTCCTGCCCCCAAAGGCTCAATGACTCTGTGTCTTAGGCTGCAGGGCTCTGGTCATGGGGCTTCTCTGAGGACAGTTTCATGGCCGACTCTGGTCCAACTCCAGGATGCCCTCAAAGGAAGGATTTGGAGTTCCACTTGCCTTCAGAGTCTGGTCCTCATCCTCCCTGGGGCGGGGACGCCTGCCACTGCCAGGCTGAGTGTTTCCGGGCGTCTGACCATGGTGTGAAAACCCAGCTGTGAACTTCCCAAGGGCCCTTGTACTTCCAAGGGGGCATTTCTAGGCCCCTGGGCCCCTGAGCCCAGCTGCAGGCTCCTGAAGCAGCTTCAGAGCTCCCTGGGGTCATGACCAAGGTGAGACACACTTCCCATCCCATGGATGAAAGGGTATTAGGGACTGAAGTCAGGAGCTGCATTGGGCGAGAGACTCATCCCTTGATTCATGTATCTGGTCAGGTATTTGCTGAATGTCTACCATGCTCTAGGCATATTCTAG